TTTGAATGTCAGTGGTTCCTTCCACAGTAGCCACAACTCTGAAATTATAACTTACACAATATGGGTAAGAAAGTCTTATCTCTACTTTTTGTTTTTTTTACAAATCTAAAAACAAAATTGTAAATATAAAACTTTTTTTAATATTTATGTTCCCATTGAAGCCATTTATTAAGTCCTATGCCACCAATAAGACAACGGACCTATAACCAGTCACTCACTCGGCAGTGCCATTAGATGACTAGGAGACCAGGAACGTGGCATATTTGCTAAGGCCACTAAGGTATAATTTAAGATCGGTGAGTCTTCTACCTCAAAGCTCCACATATTTTCTATTAAATGTATTGGGGTGATATTGGTGAACAGGATCATGTATGTTTCAAGCGTGCATGTCTACAACATGCGATCTGTATACCATACTGTGTTCCCACATGATCCGTGATCTGTGTATTGCATTGAGCTCCACATTTTCACAGGCAAGGGGAACTTGAACAGTTCTATTTCTGTTCCTCAGGCACCGGCTGGCAAACCGTTTCAGTCAAGGGTCAGACAGTAAATATTTCCGTCTTTGTGGATGATGTGGTCTCTGCCACAGCCTCCCAACTCTGCCTTTACTGCAGCAAAGCAGCCACAGACACTACATTGGTGAATGGGTCTCACTAGGTTCTAGTACACGTTCACCTGTGAAAGCTGGTGGCAGGGCAGATGGGGCCCATGGCTGCGGTTGGCCAACCCGTGCCTGCGCATGGCAGTGGGGGAATATTCACAGGCATCAGCACGCCAAACCCCTGTCTGCCCGCCCCCACAGCCGCGGCAGCTTCATGGGCGTGTGAGCAGCTGCATGGTCGACGTCTCGGAGTTCTGCAGGATTTTCTGCTGGAACCTGGGTTTCGAAGTGAAGTCTGACGGGACGGTGTGGCCCGGCTCCCAGGTGTGCTCTTGCCTGCCCACTGTCGCTCTGCAGCCCGAGGGCAGTTCTCAAACACTTGCTCCCCCCAGCTTCCTCTGCCCGGCCCTTGGCCTCGCTGTCTCCACCCAGGGCGGCATGTGTTCTGCTGTTGTCTCCTGCCCCTGGCAGGAGCCTGGATGGGGCCAGGAGAGGTTGGGTGGAGTGGGCGCACTAGTGGCATCTCGGGGCATGACGTGGGAGTGCCCTGCCTGTGCCAGGCTGGCTGCACCACAGCACCACACGCCCAGGGGACTCCGTGTGGTGCCCCTGCTCCCCTGGCCCAGGGACTGAGCGTGTCCTCAGTGGAGGCTGCAGTCTCTAAGGGGCCACGTGTCTGACGGCCGCGGGCTGGGAAGAATGGCTCCCTCCACTCCCACTGAGGGGGGGGTGGGTGTGGGTCCGTGGCTGGTGGCGGGGAGCACCCAGCAGCCAGGGCCCACGGGGAAATGGGCGGGGCCCTGCTCTCCCATGCTCTGCTGGCAGGTCCCCGGCATGAAATAGCAAACAGAAAACACCATGACAGGTCAAGTGAGAGAGAGACTGCAGAAGAAAGGAAAACATTTTATATTTTTGCACCTTGAATCTCACGTTCTTCCTGCTCTTTGAACAAAGGACCCTGTATTTTCGTTTTGCATGAGAGCCTGATCAAAGTTAGGGGCCCTAAGGAACACCGTCTGAGATCCATCTACCAAAATGGAAATTGACAAAGGAAATTCCACTCGTTCCAGAGTCAGCTAACCTTTGCGATGCCAGCGGGGCTGGCGGCGCTTCCTGCAGCATTCCTAGGTCGGCAGCGTAAGGCTCGGAAATGCATGATGTTCCGAGTTTCAAACGCCACAGGGTTCCTTTCGGGGCATGGTTGTTGGGGGGCTGCTGCGTGGTAGCATTTCCCCCAAATAGTTTCTCACGGGACGGATTCATATTTCTTTCAAATGATGTCGCCTTACCAATATAAAGCGCAATCAAATTATTGTGCATGAAATTTAACAAAACAATAGAAGAAAGTTGAAATTCTGTACTGTTTCTCTTTATTTCCTATTAAAGAAGGTAATACTATAACATTCTAACCTATTTTCCCGATGTGAATTAACCAACTGTAAAACAAATATTGTTGACATAGTAAAAGAAATTTGAACACGGGTTAGGCATTATATGATACTACAGAATTACTGTCAATATTCTTAGGTGTGAAATGACACAGTGATTGTGAAAAACATACTTCATAGATGCACACAGAAGTACTGATGGGTGAAATAACAATGTCTGAGATCTTTTTTAAATGCTTCAGCAAAAGAAGTGGAGGAAGAAGACAAGAAGAAGCTAAAGAGGAAGACAGAGAAGAAGAGGACAAAGCTGACGATAATGAAGACAAAGAGGACAGAGCGGGGAAATGTGAGAAGATGGAATAGGACAGATAAAAAGATGATGCTGATTGAAAAGTAGAAATTCATGATAATACTCTCTTTATCCTCACATATGGTTTTAAATTCCTATAATGGGGGGGGGTGCCTGTTGTCTACCAAAATGTCCTAATAAAAATCAACATACAGGTTTTTCCATTCTCCTCCACACCAAATATCCTTTTATTTTTTTAATTGTGTGTTGTGTATGTATGTACACAGGAAACATCCTGTGAGGTTGACAGGAGCTCTCTAAGCTGAGAAGCAACACAAAGGAGTTGATTGAAAGAATAATCTACCCATGGATTCCTGACACAATATTAAAAAAAAGGGGGGGGGGAGCGGAGAAAGTGGGAGGAAGAGATTGTCATTGTTACTCTCCTAACCTTTCTTTCTAATTATGCCACAGTCAAGCCTCGGGTCACAAGGAAAATGATTTTGGTGGTCAACCATTTGCCCTATTTCGCATACATCAAAAAAGCCCTTGTTCTCCCACATTCCAATATCAGTTTCCCACCTACTTTGGAAATGCACCAAGTGGTCAGATGAACAAAAATATGAATAAAATGACTATATTACAAGGGGCACCCTGGTTTGCACCCCTAGAGAGAGCCTTCGTGTTATTCTGAGTTGCATGATCTGCAACCTTTAAAAAGTTAAACACACTTTATACTATTCCAGGTATTTCAGATAAATGCTCAACATGCCCAGCTGCTAAAAGTTAAATGTAAATTTCTTTCTTGAGTGCAGATGGTGGCCAAGCAAAGTAGCTCTTGGGTCTGAGAGACAGAAGGTCAGGTCATGGCTGAAAGACCAGAGAACAATCGCTGCTTTGCTACTCAGATCATCCGTGGAATGAGACACCGCCACTTTCTTTTCTGAAACTGTCTGTTCAATGAAAAATAGTGACAAAGGCTACCTACAAGACTTCCTCACATTCTGTCCCAGAAAAAAACGGTAACGGGGACCTCAGCACAAACACCTTGTAACCGCACGGAAGCTTAATTCCTGACTCTCTGATCTCCTAAAAAGGCGCATCTCTATCTAAGAACAACACTAAAAATCATTATAAAATGGCTCATGTTTCCGTATTTAGCAGGGACTGTTTACAAATGAAAACTGCTCCTTTTAAAATCTTGCCCCTTGAGCCTCCACACCATCGCTGGTTAATTAAAATGAGATATGAAGTATAATGCTAAAAGACTAATATTATACACGTGTTATTCGTTGACAAGTGGCATTATAATGTTATTGTTCCTACAGTGTTTTTTCTCTTTAGAGTATTATAACGTAAATTTAAATAAGTCAGAAAACCTTCCTTGTTATACTTTTCCAGTTAGGCCTAAGGGTTATACTTGCAGATGCTATACAATAACACAAAAGCTATATAATAAGTACCATAGGAGCCTGCCAATATGACCCTTAAGAAAAAAGAGCCATAATGCATCAGGAAAGGAAAGTTCTGTGTTTGGTCTGGTAGTTCTAACCTTCAGTCCCTGATAAACAAGAATTTTCAATTTCATTATCAGGCACGCCCCCAACTGGATGGAATAAAATAGTTCCATTATTTGTACGTGCTAATAATGAAAATTCTACTTAAATTTATAACTCTGTAACACTTTGAATGTAGTGGTACAAAAGCAGAATTTAATTTAATTTGTTTAGAGTTTAATTTAGAGCCAGGGATTTCAGTTTTGACTCAAAAACCTTTTACACTGTTTCACTATTACTTTCATTTTCTATATTTTTCCTAATTGTGTTTCATAGAGAGTTGATCGGGTTGAAGGAGAAAATGTGTTGGAGAATATAATAAAAAGCTTTGAATTGGAAACACGTATTTTTAAAGTTTACTTAGGGCTCCCTACTTTTAAATTGCAGCAATTTCTTTAAAACATTGATACTAAGACCTGTCTTATTTTAATTGAATAGATTTATCAACCTGCTTTCTTCGAACATAAAAAATGAAAGCTGTCAATTTTCTGTACTGTAACATAAAAATAGAAAATCTAACTCAGCCAGCCAATTAGAGCTGCCTCTCTAAACTTTTAAATCCATGTTGTTAATTAAAATTGGGGTATCTATATGATCGCAACAAAGATTTAAACATAAAACATCTGTTCAAACTGAAGCAGAATTTTTTTCCCTAACATTTCTAATTTCACTGTATTTAGACATCCTGAACAAACGTATTCATGATTATCTTAGTTAAAACTGGTTTCACTCTGCCAACAATCAATTTGATTGACATATTTACATATCAACTCATCTCATCTTACAAATTTTAAACTTTTTCACTTAAAATTGGATTCAAGTTGGCATCTTTCAAGAACTTTGTGTACTATATTTTAGGTTCAAAATGTGCATTAGAACATTTTTTTTTACTTTTGTAAGTAATAGATACACATATCCAAATGTATATTTATGACCTGTCAAACTGGAATTTTATATGCGCGCAGTGGTATTCTCTCTATTTCAATGTGAAAGGTGATAATGTGAGGCAACTGTAAGTGAAATTCTTTTCATAGTATAAAGAAAATAGTTCTATTAGTTAGAAACAATATAATAGAAATAAATGACTTAGGAATAAAACCACATCAACTTCAGACAGAACATTAGTTATGTATTAACTGCTATGCGTCTGCATCATCTCTTACCTGATCTTTAATTTCAAGGTCCCTTATAGTTTTTGTTCTGTACTCTCTGTGCTCCTTTTCTGCCTCATCCTTCTCCATTTTGATTTTATTCAATTGATAGCGCATTTCCCCACACACCTGTTAGAGTATAAAAACTAGATCAATAGCTGCTGGAATCTACCAGGCAATGCTTGCAATTAGATCTTCTAGTGCCCCCTGGAGGTCATATACATAAAATACAATAAAACTTTTCTAAGAAGAGCACTTTGTATTAGAACACTCAATATAATATTCTGTTAAGATGCGGAGGCAATATCAGGCATTGTTGAGTCTAACAATTTCAAATTACAGATAAAGAAATGCATAACTAAGGGATCTAAGTAATGTGTTCATGATTTATTATGTAAAATCATAGTTTCAATTGCATATTATCACCCCCAATGCAGTATCTTCTCAATTTTAATTAGGTAAAATTATTAATTAAACTATTAAGCTATGTCATTATTCATTTAAATTGTTATGGTTAAATATACACCCTATATTATATAACTTTCCTTTAAAGACTATCAATTAGGCTTTTATTTAAGGAGATTTATAAAGGAATTTTGCTCTCTGCTAATAGACTATATTATTGATATTTAGGTTTAGTAGCCAGCATTTACCATAAGTTTTGTAGATAATGTCAGTCTTATCATTCACAATGCTATGTATTTAAGTTAAAAAAGATTGTCTGGTAAAAGTCATAGACTGAAACAAAACACATTCTGCATTAATAGCTGTAGATTTGACATAAAAGGAAAATGTACATTTAAGTGAAATAACTCTAATGTATCATTAAATAATGAACACATATAGTATCTTAAAAGTGTCTGTTATACAATTTTTTTCAATCTGTCATCTTTACAGATATAAATATATTTGGAAAAAAAGCAATTAGCAGATAAGCCTAAAGAAAGAAATTATAAGCCTCTGGGATAACTGAGAACCTGTAGAGAGATTAATTAATACACAATTCTGCTAAGTCAGCCTCTAATTTACAAAAACAAGTTTGAAAAATCATGTATCCCACAACTGTTACATTTTGCTTGAAACTATTCAAATTTGGTATTTCTTCAAAAATGATGATCAGAAGTTTGGAAATCAGGATCATCAAAATTGAGGTACTAGAATCTTAGTATGTAAAAATATACATTTTCTATGTTCAAATAAAAAATACTTTTAAAAGGAAATTGGGCTGCATTCAAAAGTTACAGTGACAAGACAGAAGAAAAAGCCACTAAGCTTTTCCCCAGTGGCTGTAAAAAGCTAGAAAAAGAACGAAATTACTAAAAATTCTATTTGAAATTCAAATGCTTTCAGTGTGCGAGTTGATTTTTCCCATTTCAAAAAAATTAGTAATTTGCAAGAAGTTATTCATATAAAAATTAAATAAAATTTAAAAATTAAGAGTGCAAAAAGAAATGAGAGGGGTCTTCATTTACTTTCTGAGTTCTTCACTGTTTCAATCTATTTGATTTACATACATGAATCAAATGAAAATATGCAACTTGATAATACAGCCATGGGGTTTAAAACCCAACACCAACACAAAATTATTATATGCAATAAATGTATAAGCATTAGGTCTTATTTAAAATTATTTTACCCCTTAATTTTATTTTTAACATTCCCTTGCAGTTTAGCATTTGGTAAGTTTACCCATAACATTTAAATTCTATCTGAAATAAATCAACAAATCAAATTGGACTAGAATGATATTATCTCAACGTTTGAAAGCCACTTCAAGACACTTTGCTGATGCCTGAGTCCCTTTGAACAATTCTATAGACCTACGACGCTCACTCTTTACTGTACACATTTCAACAGAAAGCTCTCTCCCTACAGTGAACTGAAAACTCTTACCAGAGCTTTTATCCACAAATCTGGGTTAACCATTTGAATCCCTCTGCATCAGTTCTCTTGCTTCTACCCTCCTTTCACACAAACACATCAATTACATTGGTAAATATAATATTTTTAAACTTTTGCACTTGCTAGCTTGATTTTAAAAAACAAATGATAATTATATAAATTCAAGGAAGAAGAAAATAGGCTCCCTTTCCTAATATATATTTAAGTTCATTTTCATTACTAACTTATAAAACAACAATGGCATTAAAATGTGTCAACATCTAGGAAAACGTGTTGAGAAGTAAAATTCAATATGAAAAGGGTATGCATTTTAAAATAATCTGTATATAGGTCAAAAATAGATTCATTTATCTTATTACAGCATGCATGCCCACATTTAGTTTCTTAGTGTTAAAGCAATTGATTACTGAAATTTACATGGACTTCTAGTGTTTCTTAAATAAAGACCATTAAGTACTTTAGTTCCAGGTTCCCAAGTCTGCGATGTCCATACAGCAAACACTGGCATTTTAAAGTATAAATTTAAAGGCCAATAAAATAATTAGCTGTAGTGTTAGAACCTTGATTTTAGAGGCCAAATCTGAAGAGGAATGGGAGGGAGTGCAAACTTTTTTATGGTGAGCGCATGTTGTAAATACCTCTTTCAGTATTATTGTGAAGACCAAACATACGCTATCTCTGTCAACAATTACTCCTGATTAGCAAATTTAGAAATACAAGTTTTATCAAATATTCAATAATTAAAGTAACAAACTTTGCTTATTTACAAGCCTGTCTCAGCCCCTGAAGTCTTAAGCTCTTTGGGAACATATATGTGTGTGTAACTGATCTTTGTATTGATATTTGCAGCATCCAGCAAAGAACCTGCAGATAGTAAGTACCTGCAGATAGTAAGTACTGTATTTGTTTCGCTGAATGACCATTAGGTGGACCTTTATTATCTTGAAATAACAAAACTTTTCCGCTCCAAACTTCTTTCTGAGCGTTGTGCATTAGGGAAAAATGTGTGGAAGACAATATTTAAGCAATCACTGAACTAAATTCTTCCTTGGTACCTTTGTGACATCCGTTTCCCGGGAAGCGAGCTGGCTTTGAATTTCCTCTCGCTGGTTAATAGCTGAAACCTTCTCTCTTGTAAGCTTTTCCACCTGGGCCTCCAGTTGGGCAATATTCTGAGACAGGGTCAACATCTGTAAGAGGAAATCAAAGTCCTAAATGCTAATGTCGCTTGGCAAACTAAATACGAAAAGTGTGTTGAATTCTCAGCCGCTCAGCCCCTGAGCTCGCTGCACGTCCTTTTCGCTGGGCGTTGGGCACGTGCACTTCTTGACCTCTTCAGCTCCTGCAGCCTGCACGACTTAAATATGTACTTCCCTGGTCTCCTCCCTCATTTTGGAAAAACAGAACATGACGATAAAATCAAAGGTTTGGTTGAACCTCTACAGGGACTGGAGACGCCTATGTACTTTGTGGAGGAGATGAACACGAATGAATTTCAGCAGAGGTGCCAGGGAACCAGATGACTCTTAAACCCTTCTCCCATCCAGAGGGCGTGGAAGGGATGGGCTGCGGAAGCTGGAGAAGCGAACACCCTCCGAGAGGGCTGCTGGAGGCCCATGAGGTCCCCCCACGCCCGGCATCACCAAAGAGGGGGCTCCTTGCAGTTCCCCCGCCTTCCCAATGCCCAGCGGTCCCCATCCCTCCTGCCGGGTTCCGCTCAGCCATTCTCTCCTCTCCTCCAGGGAGGCTTCCTGGACCCCTGGCTCCCAGCACCCAACAGAAGCCCCTTCACCCGCTCAGGGTTGATGTGGGGCTAACTAACGAGCACGGGCACCGTCAGGCCTGCTGTTCGCGGCGGCGGCCCTTCGCGCTGGCTGCCGTCCGAGCTGCACCGGCCGTTCAGTGAATGGTTTGACCAGCGCGCCGGCGTGTGCGCCTGCAGCCACCTCCCCGCGCCCGCATCCCACCCAGGCCCTGGACCCTCCGGCGCAGCGCTTCTCGCCCTGTTTCCCGTCGTCGGCTTCCTCGTGAGCATATCTACGTCCCTCAGGGGCACATTCCCAAGAGGCCCCCAGTGCTCGATAAATAACGTAATAGAATTAATGGCTTTTCCGAAGGACTCTCTGGATACCAGCCAGGCTCTTAGTTTTTCTTCTCAGTATTAGGAATCTTTCCTAGAGCTTAGATTTCACCTTTATAGTTTTGCTCTTTGCAGTTGCATTGTACTCTTCTCTGGTCAGTAAAAATGTTCTAGGCTCTTAATTTACTTGTGTTAGTAGTTTTAAAATGAAGAAGAAGTGCTACCTTACCCCAGAGCAGAACATACAGGGAATATCTATCAGTTTTTAACCTGTAAAAACAAGAACTGATAATGAACTCAAAATGGTAACATTTGAATTCTGCCATAGAACACTGCCGTGGATGTAGATTCAATTTTACAACTAAAAATCAATAACCAAAATTTTGTGATAGACATCAAGACTGCCTTGGAAATATACAACTGAGGTTGGCACATACGAAAATAATGAGCACTGTGGCTATTTTCTAATTTAGACAGTAGCTGTAGTAACTTTTCTGGGGATCGTGGAGAATTGTCTGTTTGACTTATGCTTGTTTGTATGTTCTTATCATTCAAAGATTGGCCATAAATCTAATTTGTACAAAAAAGTCACTTTTACTGAGACCAAGCTACAAACCATCCTTATGCACATTACAATCTGAACCTAAAATCAGAGGTCAAAAGAAGTTAAATGAAACAAATCAAAAATATGAATTTAATTTCCTTAAGCTACAAATTCAAGTTCAGGAATATCTATGTTATAAATGTGTCCTTGTGGCTCTTCTGGAAGACTATAGCAGCCACAAACTTTAATTGCCAGCTACTAAAAATTATATATTACTTACGCAGAGACATCCCTAATGGTAAACATACGAACATCATGTGGTTTTTGAAGTGACTATGAGGCCCATCAGAAGAATTGCTCATTGAAAATACCGAGTCAGTGTCTACGACCCGGCCGGCAACAAATGACATCCTTTCACTTCCCTCTGCCGCCCGTCACTCGGTTCCCCTGCCCATTACCTGTCTGCTCCCTCCTGTCACGCAGTTCCCGAGGCCTCCCCCGCCCCCGGTTGTCACACCTTCTTTCCCCCACGCCCACCATCTGGAAGGCAGCATCGCCCCGCAGGAGCCGCTCCACGCACATCTGTTGCTGAGACAGAAGGAAGGCAGACAGCTGCGGCACTGCTGGGCGTCCAGGCCGGTGACATCAGGGGAGTCCTTTAAACTTTGACAGGGGCAAGCAAGAGACAAGGACACCCAGGCTGGGAGAGCTTGACAGCCATTTCCATGCTAAAGCCGTCCCCAGCGGGCCGGACACCGAACAAAGTGGTGCTTCCTCTGCCAGTGGCACAAGAACTGAGGCTTCTAGCAAAGGGCTATTTTCCAGGGAACCGACTGAGAAAACACACGGACCGTAGAGGGCACTCAGTCAAGACGTGATGAATGGTGGATGGAACTAGCAAACCCGAGGAGCTCAGTGCAACCAAGGACCATCGCGGAAGACGACAAGCAAACTCACAGCAAGCACCTTTCATGGGGGTATGATTCAAAACCTGTCCAGGTGGAAGACATCTGCTTGCCTGGAGCTTCCCACACAAATGAACTTATTTAAAAAAAAAAAAAATAGGAGAAAGGGGAAAGAAAGACAAAGAAAAAGAAAAAGAAAGAAGAAAAAATCTAAAAGTCTTGCAAGCAAGCCTTCCTTATTGCTAGCAAAGCAGAAAGCTTGCTCCAGTGCTAACTACAGAACATTGAAAACATTGTGATTCATTGGCCCATCTCCTTATTCCATTAACTTCCTGTGCTAGGCAGTATGATAGACATTCTCTCTTAATCCCCCTGGGCCAGGAATTATATTGGATTAATTTTTGATTGAAAAAAATGAGATTCGGTAAATTAAGTAATTTGCCCAAGCTAATAAATAAAAAGTAAAGCTGGGCTTTATATTCAGATCTGTCTGCTCTTACTCACACGAGGATCCAAGAAATCGATCTAACAAGACTACTTCTCTCTTCCTCTGGAGTAAGAATGACAATAGCCACAAGCTAAGAGTTATTAAATGTCCCCTCTAAGTCAGGTATTATATTAGGTACTTTCAAAACATTACCTTATTTAACCCACTCATTTCCTTGAGTAGATGAACTCTATTATTTACTTTTTTGTAATTTGCTGAGGTCCAATGAATTCCTCAAGGATAGAGGAAGGTCAGTTTAGATTCAACCCTGAAGCCTTTGACTCCAAAGCCACTTTCTGCCTTTGGCTGGGTCAGCTCGCACCGCTTCCAGCTCTTTGCTCAGACACCTGTATTTAGGGCAGGGCCTTGCGGTCAAATGACAGCCAAGACTTACCGGGCGCAAAACAAATGACTCAGACTCTGAAATACATTGTCTTCCTGTTGTCATCTTTAGTCACGAAATAATCGTCAGTATAAAAAAGAGGTTCTGTTTCCTATGAAAGCACCTGGAATATCGCCTGGTGCCTTTCAGCCTTCCTTTGTGTTTTCTTATCAGGAATTCTCATCAAGATATTTTTATACGGTAGCACTACTCTGCAAGGTAAAAGTTTCCACTAAGCAACCCCCGCCCCGCCCCCCACACACACACAAATCTCCTAGGTGTGAACCACAGCTGGTCTTTGCAACTGATATTATTCTGTCTCACACACACGATGCTCAGTTAGTTCCCAGTTTTACCTCCCTCTATGCCTTACTCGTTACAGCCAGTATTCCTTCCCATACTCTGCATGTCTAACTCCTCCCTATGCTTTGATGCTCAGTTAAAATGCCACCTTCTCCACGAAACCTTCCATGATCTCTTACAGACAGGGATTCATTCTGATCATCTGAACTCTCAGCATTTTATTCATGCCTCTGGTATTACATTCATTCATTCATTCACTCAGCAAAAGTACACGGAGCACCTTTTATGAGAGAGGAATGTTTCAAGGTCTGAGGATGTTGAGAAGCCATACAATCAAGGGACTCCTAGTAAATTAGGGGAGACAAACAACTCAACAAGAACTTGCAATAAATTGAGTTACGGGAGCCCACAGGAAAGGCTCCCAACTCGTCTCTGTGGGACTATGAGAGGAGGTGGTGTCAACAAGAACTTTGAAGGACCCATAAGAGAGGACAGAGGAAGATTCCTGTAGGCAGGAGGCAAAGCACAGGCAAAATCCTGGAATAAAAATGCCGCCTGGCAGATTGGCGCATGTGCATGTCTGAGAAAGTTCCAGTGGACCAGGCTGGTGACGAAGCAGGAAAGAAAGGGGAAGGGAGATGAGACTCACAAGCCAAAGAGTGGAAGGAAAAGGTAGGATCTTTATGCTATACTATGCTAAACAATCCCAGATTTTAGCCAAGGAGCTGCAGGGAGACATGAAAAGAACCATAAAGTGAGAGGCAAGAGCCTGACATACCAAGATGCCCCATTTGGAAAGGCTGTCCCGGCTGTGGAGTAGGGAACAGCTGGGAGGGAGGCGAGGGTGAGCTGGGGACAGCCGTGGGCCGCAGAGGCCGGCACCCTAAACTTCCTGGGGGCCTGAGTCTCTAGAACTCGGTGACTTGATGATTTGTAGGGTACGGACAAGGAGGAGACAGAGATGGCAGCGAGACTTCAGAGCTGGGAAACTGGGTGGAAGGTGGTTCCACTAGGAGAGAAAAGAGGGGAAGGAGGCAGGTTTGGGAGCTCACTAGGGAGCTGAAGATTTAGAAATCAACGCCATATAGCTGGAATTAAAGCCACAGTAGTGCTAAAAATACCGGAACCTAGAGCTCCCTGCTACGTCCTGGAAGCCTTTCCTAAGCTTCTTTCCAAATGTCAACTTCATTGTCTCCAAGATACTTGAAACTCAGGACAACCTTAAAAGACACACATCATCATTCTCTTAAATAAGGAATATTGACTGTGGGAAAACAAGAAAGAAAACCTTTTAAGGAGCATAAGGACTAAAAACTATTTACCAAAAATAGCACAGGAAGGTCTTTGGTGAACATAGCAATGGTAATGTCTTTGTCGTAGGCACAGGAGCTGAAATGCTATGGGCCGAAGAGTGAATGGGAGGTGAGAGAACAAAGACAACATGTCTTTAAGGACCAATCCTTAAAGAAGCCTGGCTATTCAGGGGAAGAGGGAGGAGGGATATGAATTACTGAGGTGCCTTCCAACCTTGGCTACATGTCGGAGCCACCTGGACAACTCTCAGTAATAATGACCCCTGGATCTTACCCTCAGCTCTTTCAAAGCAATGGGTTTGGGGTGCAGATTGGGCCATGAGATTTCTAGAATTTCTATGTAACCAAGACTGAGAACTGCTGGATGAGAAGACAGTGTTTCTTTCAACAGGTGAGAGAAGTTTGAGCGTTATCTTCCCGGGTAAGAAAGAGGCTGTCGTGAAGGACATTTTAAAGATTCAGAAGAGAGAGGGGACTAAGAATGGGGTCCCTGGGACGATGGAAGAGAATGGGACCTGGACGAGAGGGAAAGACTAGGATTAAGCCTCTCCCGCTCTGACTGGGTTGGTTTGTGGATGAAATTTTATTTGAAGGCAGAGATGAGGGATAGATCAATAGATGAGGTGGTCACCACCCAATAGCTGCTATTTTCTTTAAGTAAGTGAGGATCTCTGCTGAGAACGAGGGGAAAGGGGGGACCGTGGAGACTCAGAGAAGGACAAAAGTGATCGGAAATAGTCCTTGAAAATGGGTCCAAGATGCCGTCACTTCCCACCTGGACTTACCGCAACTACCTCTTCCCTAACCTCCAAGCAGTTATTCCATTCTCCTGCCCATGTACCGACAGAATGGTTTTTACCATGATACTGCCTAACTGAAAGCCATTCAGGGCCTTTCCATCGCTTCTGGGGTAAAATTCAAAGTCCTTCTCATGGACACGAACGCCATTCAGGACTCGGCCCTTCCAGACTTCTCCAAGCTCTTCGCCTCTCCCCTGTCCCGCACTGGCTATGCCCCGGCCACCTGGGCCTTCGCATGGATTATTGCAACAAACTTGATCGTTCTCTTGGCAGAGGTCAGAGAGTATAATTGATGGAGAAATACATGGGAAATAGAAGCACCTTATGAACGATAAGTTATCAGAAATGTGACTCCTCCCAAGATTTTAAAATATAAAATTCTCTCAAGAATTGTGGCCCCCTGCACCATCAGCGCCGGGGCTCCTGGCCCTTCGGCTCGCACAACATGGCCTCTCAACATGGCTGGCCCAGGGGACAGCGCACCTTCGAGCCCATGTCCTCCCTTTCTGCGGCGAATTCTTTCTTCATCATCTCTTTCTCAAAGGCCCTCTTCTCTTGCTGAGCTGCAAGTTCTTTTCCAAGGCGCTCTGCCTGTCTCTCCAGCTCACTCTTCAGCTGCTCACATTGGATGAAAGCCTACAGGCAGAGGAAAACGGAGCTTAGGATTCAGGAACAACGCGGGGAATGAGGCAACGAAGCTTTACTTTCATCGGAAATAGTTAAAACACACTGTGAGGTCAATGGGAACATTTTTATATCGTTCGCTAATGCCACTTAGCGATAGAACAGTATCCGCATCTTATGTTTATTCGCATATTTCCTTTTCATAATTAAGGCTACATGAACTTACAAACTAACAAAATTCAGGTAATGGGCTTAGATGGGGGCCACTGATGAGTAAGAATTCTGAAAAAGGGGATCAGAAAGCTAAAGTGTTCTAGTACTTTCAATTATATATCATGTTTATACTACATAAAATACAAGGCCTGGCAGAAGGAACGCTTGCTTGAGTGTGGTGGGTAGGGTAACAGTATGGGTGTAATAATTTATAGGTTTAATTTGAACATTTCATCTAAAATGTCCTATGGTGTGCTTGAGTGATATTGTTGTGTTACAGAATTACATGCTTATGATCTTGTAATAAAAAAGGCGTTCTTTGTGCCAGACCCTGTATTTAAGTATCCAATTTAATTGACTTTTCATTTGCTTATGGTTAAAGTTATTTGAATACTTTAAATAGTAAACAGATAAAAATTTTTAAAATGAGGCATTGAATTCATGATTACATACAAGTTTCTGTTTTTAATGTTATGTAATATTCAAATTTCTTTATAAATAAGATAAGATTTAGTTCACTCTCCTTACACACATAACTACAGTAAAAATTAGGTAGTAATAAAAAGTTAAGATAAGGAAAGGTGCAAAACAGCATTTACTACTTAGTTTTATAACATAAAAATTGGTATCTTCCGTTTCTAGTAATTTAAAAATCCATAACTGTCCACTAGCCTAAATTTCCCACTCTGCAATACCAGAAGTGAAAATTTTATAATTTCCTCTTAGCTATATTCACAATATGTATAATATCCAATAATAAATGATGACTTCAAAATCCCAATTTAAAAAAAAATCCCAATAGAATTAGGTTGCTTCACATAGAAAATCGGAGTCACTCTAAGGTGTCTTAGTCTTATTCCAGTGGCCCTTATGTACAATATTTACCTCATCCACCCTCTATTTTCCCCTGAAGAAAGAAACCCAAGTGTTACGTGACTCACATGCTGCATGATTATAAATTTCACAGTCACGTTTCTTGTTCACAGAGAAGAAAATGGTCTCTGTGAGCAGGGACTGTAAGCTGTAGGCATGGCTTTGCTTCCCTCTGGTGAAAGTTGCAATAAATACAGACGATAATTATCTAGGCTAAGCGGACTCTCTCTCCTCATCTCCAAGTACTAAACTACAACTTCTTCAAACCCTCCTGGAAAGTTTCTGTCCTGCTAGAGAAAGTATTTACTTACCAGTTACGAAAAAACTGATCCTTGTAGGGAACTAGTCCCAAAGCCAATTCTAGTTGAGAAAGTTTTTCAAAGAAAAGAGATTTTAAGAGAAATGAAAAGTATAATTTTTTCTAAAATGGAAGCCCCTGGAACTTACAATATTATGAATTAGAGACTTTTGTGCTTCAGAGTACTATGGTCCGTGTGAAAAATATTTGATATGAACCCAATAAAAGTGTCCATAACTTTTGCTAATGTAATGAATATCACTGGTAGGAAAGAATAAAATCACTGTTAGTATAAATCAATATATCCAATCATAAGATTTTTTAACTGAACAGAAACTCAGGAATTAACATCATACTGTGTAGAAACAGCAGAAAGGACAGCTACTGATAGAGCTAAAGATCAGGTTCACATGGAGAACAAAAAAATCCATTCAAAAAATTCACTAAGTTCAGGAGCAAGAGATAATAAAAATCCTGACAAAATAAGAGGTCCAATGCCAAGAGGTTTTAGCCCAGAGTATACAGCAAGAAGTTGTAAATCACATAAACAAAACTATTGCTGAAGCCTTGGTTTAAAGGTTGGCCTTCTCTGTATTAGGACTTATCAGAACTAGCCACCAATAAAGAGACACCGAATTAAAATATTAGATTAAAAAGTGGTTATCAATGACTCTTGGCATGTGACCAATGATTCCATATTATAATATGGCACTTACTTTTATTTGTTTTGATTTTAATATATGTGTGTGGTCACAATGAAGAAAACATATTAATGCTTAATAACACTTGGAATTAGAAAAGTGACTTAACCTTTCTAAAGATATCACTCTTACCATGGTGATCACTTACTAGAAAGATTTGGTTCTACTAAATAAATATTTATACACTATTTCCACTACAGCGTTTTCTTTTTAATTCTAGGGTTCCCGCTCCTAGTTTCCAGAGTCCCAGCTGAGTCGGTGCGCCCTAATTATATTCACCTAACTGTTACTAAAGCCATAACTGAATTCTCAAAGGCTAGGTCAATGAACAGTCCATTATGATTATCTGATAGGTTTTCATGGGTGACCAAGTTAACCTCAGGCCTGCAGCCCCCATTTCTCACTGTAGTTGCCCTGGAGGGTGCGGGGGGAGGGATCCTTCTCCCTTCCCCTGAGCCAACCCCTGGATGTGGCAGAAATGGCTGTAGGTCTTGAGGAGCTGGGAAGTTATACTTTCTTACCAACCCACAAACTCAGTCCTTGAGGGACCTTTTCTCTTCTGGAAAATTTCTTTATTTTTGGTCATTTTATGTGGTTGTTCTTGATATTCCTAGTCCTGGTTTCTGAAACCAAAGAACATGCATGACTATCCTAATAGGGGCAAAAGATTTTCTAAAAGAAATTTATGTCTAGTCAACTTAATTTTTAAAATAGGAACGCTATTTTAAAATATAAGAAGGTCCTTCCCAATTGCCAGGGTTAGGGTCCTAGCAATCCTTGAGGTAGAATTCATAATTTAAGATCTCACAAGAAACATGTTTTTCATGGTTATGAATGTAAACTTTAAGACATATGAAAATGTTATTATCTTTAGGAAACAAAGCCTACAAAAATGAAAATGGTTACCAACCTGTTTTAAGCATTTAACTTGTGAATAGCATAAACTATTGATAATTTATAAATTCTTGCTTATCAGAAACCTATCAGCCAGTCTTATCCTTATCCTTCATCTTCAAGATATTTAAAATTTGTTTTTATTTTCTGGTAGACAATGTACATATCAAGAAGCATTATTTTCTATGCCTGTAGCTACAATAAAATATTCAATGTTTTTCTGATTTTTTTAAAATTCAGGTTTCTAATTCTTGCCTGATTCTGTTGTAATCCAGGAAAAAGAATAACTTAAATCCTTGAAAAGGAGAAGAGGTTTGGGGGCATTTATTCAACCCACAGAGTTGGTATTTTTGAAAAAAAGAAAATCTTTTTGTGAAAGGTTATCTCATTTATATATACCAATGGTAACTTCATGCCAAAGCCAAAAATTTCCCTTTGGATAGAAGCCTGCAAGTCTACAACCTGGTTGATAACCTTTTCATGTTGTAGCTTAACCAAGGCACCACTGAAAAGCCTCTAGTTTTTTCCCCCTAATTTATTCCCAGGTTATTTTTTTTTCACTCTTTTAAGATTATCCCCATTAGAATGACTTGCAATTTTCAAAGAAAACCAAAAACATTTATCAAGCACTTACTATATGCCAGGTGTTTTACTAAATGGCTTATATAGAATTTATTTAACTCCCTCATTAAATTTTAAGTGGTTCTTACCATTCAGTTAAAGAAACTGAAGCCTTGGGATACTAAGTATTTTGTTTGAGATCAAAAACCCAGAAAGTTGCAGAGTAGAAATTTGATCCAAAGTAGTTTTCAAAGGAATCTATAGGCATGAAATTATTATTATTATTATTTTCTAATTTATAAATTTATTATCTTAAAAATTTCTTAGGTATATTCACTGCCACTATAAATATAAAATTCCCTCTACTTGCATGAAATTCCCAAAATTGGACACTAGATGGCGCAAATGTCAAGGAACTATAAGAACAAAGTAACCATTTCAAAGCTCATTAATAAAGTGGGTGGTTTTAAAATTAAAATATGTTGTCTCAGTTTTTACTCTGAGAAAGCAAAACTACTAGTGTGTTCTAACATACCTTAGAGATAAAAACAAATAGACTTGCACTGCATTATGTAAACTGCTTAGCAATCAATCCTTACGTTATTACTAGTAAAAAAATGCTGTAGATTCACAATAACCTCTCTAGTTTTTAACCACTGAATTTTTAAAACAACTAACTACAAAAATTCATAGCGAAAGCTAATAATTGACTTTAATTCAATTCAACAAACATTTATTATGCAATTTTTATGTAAATGACCAAGTGAAAAATAATACAATGCTAGCGATCAGAGACCTGACTTTTAAGGTCTTCTGATGGGAAGACATATGTAAACAGCCACCAAAGTTGTACACAGCGTCAGTAGGGATGTAGAGGAGAAAGAGACCAGCTCAAACAAGAAGAGGCTGAGGAAAACAGCTACGTGAGTTGAGCCCATAGGTGTGAATAGGTATTCACAGGTAGATGCTGTGCAGGAAGCAGAGCATGAACGAATTCACGGAAATGGTCATTTGTGGGTCACGTTCCAGCAACAGCACAGGTCCTTTGAAAGAGTGTAGTAAGAGATCAGGATAGGAAAGCCAGATGTGGCCACGCTATGGCGGGTCTGGAAGACCATGCTAAGGAATTTGTCTTGTGTTCTACGGCAAGAGTAACCTCCTGTTATTCAAAGCTCCCAGCGCACCGCCTTATCACTGAGTGTTAACTACTTCTGTGTTGTCATTATCATTGAAAGTTTATCATTATCATTTGACTTAGTATATAGTGATCTTGGCTCATAGCTAAGGATGCTACTAAATGCACATATATTCTCGTCTGTGGTGTATTTGGATGTTCTCAACATTCCCTGTACACAGAGAAAACCCATTTGTCTTTAGTCACAAATGAACACATACATATGCGTGTTAAGATTTTAACAGCATTAAAATATATCAGCAAATAAAAAGATTAAGCATACAAGCCCCTCAAAGGACTTTACCACATGGTACAATGTCCTCTGAATAGTTCTATAGCAAGAGTATTTGCAGAAGAATAAGAACTCTCCAAATAGCAAATTGGTTTAATTTAGCAAAGTCAACATTAGCAGATTGGTATTCACTTTGCGTGTGCTTGGAAAAAAAGAGTTTAGTTATAGAAGAGTAAGTAAAGAACTACTCAGAGTGAAGAAAACGAGAGCAACCACAGCATGCCTTTCTTTCAATCTTGTTAGACTTGCCTTGGTTTTTTCAAAATTGGCCTCCTCGGTCATTTGCACAGCTTGCTTCACCTGCTCGTAAGCGCTGGCTTCCCTCTGCTGCATATCTGTCAAGCTGCTCCTTACGGAAACCAGCGCAGACATTAAGTCATCTCTTTCTCTGTCGGCACAAAAAGAACATTCAGCACCAGAAATGACCAAACGACCGTGTCGTCCTAAGTCAGGAAGGAAAAAGCCTTAAGATGTAGTAGAAGAAGAGCTAGAGCAGGCCAGCCCAGTGCATACGTCACAGCTCGCCCCAGAGAAAGACCCTCTGTCCTTCCCCGGCGAGGGGCTGGCAGAGGAGCCAAGAAGGCTGTGAGCGTTCATGGCAAGAAGGCATCTGCGGGGACAATGACCTATTGTGGGCAGGACTGGCACACTGAGGGATGCAGACTAAAGCCCAGAGAAGAAGAAATTTGTTTAAAAACAAAAGAGGGAGAGCTGAAAAGGACCAAAAAAGCAACAAGGTAGGGAAGCTGGGGACTCTACCCCAAAGCAGAGGTGAACATATTAAGAAGGCAAGACTAAGGTTTTGTTTACACTACCAATTCTCCTCTCATTTACTTGAACAAATATATGTCCTTCCTTTTTCATCTTCTTCCACAGCCCTCTTTTTCTTCCAATTAAATTCTTTCACCTACTTGCGAACACGTTTCTTCCTTCAATGGGTAGTGAGGTGAATCTCTTAAATGCTCTCCTTACCCACATAATACTCCTAATTTAACAAAATCCTATCCCACTGGCTCTCATCGCTGCCTAGGCCCACGTCGTCCACAGAGTTCTCAGCAGAGTTCCAAGCTGAGCTACTTCTCAGGGAGAGAATGCCAAAATGCTTTGGCACAGAAAACAGCAAGGACCCGTTCTCGTGGGTTAAACAAACGCCATAGAAAAGATTCCAGATATTTGGAATTTATCCACTGCATGCAATATGACCGGTAGACCCAAGACAAAGTGAGGTGTGAAACTTTCTATACACACAAAGTTAAAAAAAAGAAAAAGAAGAAAAAAGAAAGCAAAACACCCGAGTTGGGCTGTTATGTGTGTTTTGTTCAATAGCTCAAGTTTTAACTACGGTTTCAAGTGCAGCTGAAGTAGCTGCCTGCAGTTTCCTTTGATTGCCAAGTTCTAAACTATCAGAGAAAAGCCAACTGTGATTTTCTTTTTAATTTAGCAAACTTTGGATCATAATTTAAAAGATTATAAACTCTGGGTTGGAATTGCTTTCATGATCAACCAATGACTCCATTAAAAAAGATCTCTAAAAGATGAAATGATTTAAACTATTTGTGGTATTTGGAAAGCAGCCATATTTTAAGAAATATGTAATACTGAACAAAGGTACAATTATTAGCAGTTTCATAAAAGCTCTTTTTTAAAAAAACAATAGATTACTGCAAATATCATAAAATTCATGGGAGCATGGTAACCTTTATTTTAGAATATCTTGATATGTTTGTTTTAAATTGAGAAATATCATTTACTTTAATGTTTCAGTTCTAAAGGAAATTAAAAATAGAGTTACTTGTTTTTAGAAAACCTCATCAAACACAATGACTACGTGAAAAAGTGGAAAAGTCAAAGCCAATTCTTTTAGTTCTGTAATAAGTTAAATGCAAGCAAAACTGAATTTATATTTATTTTCATTTTCAAATAAGCTTCAGCATAAACAGAGACTAGCTTCATTGAGAACACGCAATCCAACTAGGACCGATAATTCTAGAACAAAAGAAGTCACTCTTAAGGGTAGTACTGACACCTGCTGATGCCCAATTACGGTTCAGGGCCACCCTTATCTGTCCCTGATACTGTGTCACCCTCAAAGCCAAAGTTGCAAATAAAAAGAATCAACAAAAAAGCTCACTGTTTATTCAGTATCACGACAGGATCAAAATCTAACAAATCTGTGTCTTATGTTTAACATATGTAATCCCTTCCCAGTATATCCTCTTGCTGAGGGGTTTGCCACACGATATCAGGGGTGTCCAAGCTTTTGGCGTCTCTGGGCCATGCGGAAAGAACAAGAGTTGTCTTGGGCCGCACGTTAAATACACAAACACTAGTGAAAACTGATGAGCAAAAAAAAGGTTTTAAGTAAATTTACGATTTTGTATGGAGCCACATTCATGGCCATCCTGGGCCACGTGCGGCCTGCGGGTTGCAGGTCGGGGACCCCTGCTGGATGCTCAATGAAATAAACAACAAAAGAAAGAATGAATGAACGATGACTGGATGCAGGGCATCGAAAGAGGGGAGCCCAGCTGGTGCATGAGCCCGGCTGGTGCGTGAGCCCAGCTGGCGTGGCTCAGTTGGTTGGGCGTCATCCCTAAAACTGAAAAGGTCGCCAGTTAGATTTCAGGTTGGGGCACATGCCAGGGTTGCAGGTTTGGTCCCCAACAGGGGTGCATACGGAAGGCAGCCAACTGATGTTTCTCTCTAACATCGGTGTTTCCTTCCTTCTCTCCCTCCCTTCCCCTCTCTCTAAAATCAAAAATAAAAATAAAATTAAAGGAGAGGTAAAATAGAGCTCCTAGTTCTAATATTTTATGATCTAAATTTAAAAAGTGACCAGACTATTTAGGATTGGAAGCTAAAGAGTTTAGTTGCTCTGACTGAAAAAATTTTCAGAGTATCAACTCACCGACTGCGGCCTATTGAACCACAGAAAATCATCAAACTCCCAAACACTGAAGTCTTGTTAAGCTCATCATTCAACAGTGAGACCATAAAGATCTGTGGGGCCACTGGATTGACACACTCTGTAACAGAAACATACTCTCCGCTTTACAGCAGCGATTGGAGAAGTCCGCATTTTACATACACTTACAGGCATAGGTAACCATTTTGGCAATTTAAGATTATCGACTCAGTCACTACATTTTTGGTTTTCTCTTATTATGTTTGCTTTTGTTTCAACTCAGCCAGCCCATATACCAAATAGCAAGCACTAACAAACCAACCAACCAACAAACAAACAAAAAGCCAGCTCTGGGCATGTTAAGCTCTGTCCTCAACACAGGCTTTGCTTCCTGTCCCAACATTCCTATGTTCGCCTGGCTGTCGCCTTCTTGATTTAGCTCCCATTTTTCAGCCCCAATGACTACTCACTATCTGCCACTCAGAAGCAGTCCACGCCAGCCACGCAGGGCACCTGCCCAGTCAGCTACGGTCCTCCAGGGCTCGTGGTCCCAGGGCTCCCAGTCCCCAGGGCCAGCCCGCAGCCGAGCCAGCCCGCAGCCAGGCCTGCATGGCCTGTCGCAGGGGGCACTTGTACATGTGCTGTGACAGTGTCAGAGGGAGAGGAGAGTTCTGCAAATGGCTGTCTTCCATGGCAAAATTGTGTGAGTGCTTAGAAACACCATGTACATGTTTTGATAAATGTGACCAAGGAGTTTTCTGGAACATAGTGAGCAAATCGGCATATCCCTGCAGCAGTCCCTGATCCGGAAGCAAGAGCAGCTGAGGCAGAGGATGGGGTAAGGAGCGTGGTTGTGAGTTCTGGGCTGAACCAACAAGTATGTAGTGTTTAAGGGACTTGGTACAGCAATCAAAGCAAAGAGGACTGAGCAAGACCATGCGTAGCCTTGGTCAAGTGTTTGAAATAGGGAAAAGAGAGACTTGGTCTGGTATATATGTATGAGCTTCATCCTGAGACATGGAGTGCCTAAGAAATGTCTTTAATTCCTTAGTTAGTTTACAGTTACTGCCAGTTTGCCGGTTTTAAGCATTCTTAAGTATCATTAATAAGTATTATCACTGTTTTTAAAAAGAAGTCTAGAAGGCTGACTTCAACATGTCCTTGTTCCTCATTTCTGGGAAGTTCCTGCCATCATCTTTCAAAGCCAAGTATATAGAACCTTGCCAATGATCCACCCCCAAATCACAAGCTGGACAAAAGTCCCGGGATAGGACAGTAGCAATTGTTTCTCTGAAAAGTGAAACTTCTCCAAGGCACCAGGAGCTGCAGAAGGAAATTGAAAACAAAGCAGTTGCATCTTGACTACATTCAAAGGTTTTGATCATGAAGCAAGAAAAAGAGATAACTGTTGCTCTTACCTACCTCATAGGCTTATGAATAATAAGGCTTATGAGGACTTCAAATCAACTTTTCAAATATATCCAATGCCATTAGCAGTTGGTAAGTATACTCTCCAGAAAGTCCCTAAGGCCCTCACAAAGCACCACAAGCATATGGGTGGCCTGGTCTCCGAGTCGTGCCTCACCCTCCCCTTTGCTAGTGTCCACGTCCTTCCTGAGTCACATACTTGACTCACTGCAGGCTCACCAGGCCAACAGAGAGGCTCAAAGCGCCGTCACAGAACCATGTTTCCAACAGAAGCAGGGACGCTCTTTTGACTTATCATATTTTTAACATTTCGTGTTCAAGTCATGCAGGAAATACTATGATACAGCTCATTGAGGGGGTCACACTTCGAATTATGCAGAAAGCTAGAAATCCAAACCCCAGAAGTGTTGGCTACTCTTCAAAGTCAGCATTACACTCAGTATTCAGCGTTCTGCATCAGTGAGTTGAAAGAGGCCGAACACCAGCTTCGGCCAAGGGAATGGTGTGGATGAAGATTTTCCCTGACAACACAAGCAGAAACCGTCCACTGTGTTCTGTTATTAAAATAGAACAGGAGCCAGGGCTAGGCTGACAAAGCAGAAAGCTGAACTGAGAAGGTTGACGTTTGTTTTAAGAGGCTAAGAGCTGAAATTTAAAACTACAGACAAAGGACTGTATAACTGAGAAAGAATCTAATTTCTAAGTGACTGCCAGACTTGGAATCGATGTAAACATTGTAGTTTCCTTTTAAAATATTTTTCTCGTGATCTACAAGGACAGTATAAAGGCAATATAAGAGGAACAAAAGTTTTGTTGTTGTTGTTGGTTTTGCTACGGAGTTTTAAAGTCTGCCTCTTTTTCTCTGTGTAACTTTGCATATACTTTTTCTCCTTTAATTTTTTCATTGCATTCTCTTTGTAAAATTAATTGCCAACATGGTGACAGTCCTATTTGACACATACTTTGAACTTCAATGCCCACGTCTACCTCTCCAGTGATAATCACTGTTAAATATTGGGTGTTTGCCCTTTCACATATTTTTCTATGCCTTTCTATGAACGTAGAGAAAATACATAGTATGGTTGTGTATGGTCTTTTAAAAAATACAAATGGTTTCAAACCAGGTGTGTCTTTCTCATTTTATTTTTTTCTCACAAAAATATATTTCAGAGCTTAATTCCATTTTAGTATACATATAGATCTATTTCATATTCTTTTTACTATACATACATTTCACAGTTTATCGAAACCACAGTTTAGTTATTCTCCTTTGAAGGATATTTAGGTTGTTTACACCTAAAAAGGAAAATCTTGTTTCCCTCTATGGTCAGTTTCTGTACTCACAACACTTCTGACACTGAATATGTGGGTTTTCCACACAAGCGATTCTCTCATACTTGGCAGATATTGATCACATTTGACACTAATGGCCGAAGTTAGCAAAGACCCTGTGGGTTAAGGCTCAGTCCCACAAGACTGTCCCCACTTCAGATGCCCATTGCGAGTCCCAGGCTGGCATCCGTATCGCTGACAGACTGGCTACAAAAGCCCTTCCATGGGTTTGAGAATTTGCTGGGACAGCTCACAGAACCCAGGAAAGTGCTTTACTTACTATTCCCTGCTCATTATAAAGGATGTGACTCAGGGATGGCAAGATGCAAGAGATGCATAGGACAAGGTATGTGGGGAGGGATGGAGCATACATGCCCTTTCTGGGCACACCACCCTCCTAGTGCCTTCATGTGCTCACCAGCCTAGAAGCTCTCCAAACCCCATAGTTTTTTTTATGGAGGTTCCATAGGCATGATTGATTACATCATTGGCCATCAGTAATTAACTCAATCTCCAGCCTTTCTGTCCTCTCCAAAGGTTGGGGAGGTCTAATCCTGTAATCTTATGGATGGTTCCTGTGGCAACCAGCACCCCATACTTAATGGGTTTCCTAAAGTCACCTCATTAACATAAACTCAAGTATGGTTAAGAGGGGCTTGTTAAGAAAGGAGATGTTCCTTTCACCTTTATGCTCTAGAGCTATATCATGAGCAGGAAGGAAACAATAATTATCACAAAAGACGTTCTTATTACTCTTATCATTTATGAAATTACAGGGTTTTAGAAGCTCTATGCCAGACACTGGACATGAAGACCAAAATACATACTTCTTATATCACGACATCACAAAATTACAAATAATGCTGCAAAAACAATTCCCTATAAATGACCCTATTGAACATATACAAGTTCTCTTGGGTAAATTCTTGAAATGTATACTACACAACTTAAATATTAATGAGTAGTGTTAAATTATCCTCCAAAGTAGTACCAATTTATACTTCCACCAGTAGGGTATGAAAATACTTGCATAATCATGGCCTCACCAATTCTTGTGATTGTCAATCTCCTTTAATTTTTACCAATTTGATGGCTTGGTTTTATTAAAAATTGTATTTCCTTGAATAATAACAGAATGAATTCCTTCTTGTGTATTGACATCGTCTTTCATTGTTCAATGATTGCTATTCTTTCTCTACTTTGCAACTGAGCAATTTGTTCTTTTTGTTAGTTTCAAGAAATTCTCTATACATCATACCTATTTTTTGTTATGTAGGATGGAACTATTTTCCTCAATCTTTTTATTTAATTTGTAATAGTGTATCATAAGAAAGTTTTTGTAATGGGGACAAATGTACCATTTTTTCCCTTTATGACTTCCACTCATCATGCCATAGTCAAAACTTTACCCCAAAGTTATAAAGACATTTTCTATATTTTCTTCTAATACTTCTATAGTCAGAATTGTATCTCGGTCTTTACACCATCTTGAATTTATTTTTGTAAGGTATGGTTGTATTTTTTTCCCCCAAGTATAAAAAGTCTGTGAAGTGGGGGTAAGAACATTTACCTCATAAATGCTTTGCTATGATTTGCATATGAAAAATATATGAGGTATATATTGCATATGAGGTATATATGAGGTATATAGGTATATATATATATATATGAGTGCCTGGCGCTCAGCAGCATATAATAAATGTTAACCACATGTTAGTTGGATCTGAAAATATGTTTAATAAATTTTATTGGTATATTGAATCTATGTGAATAATTTAATAATATGTTTAATAATTAATGTAATATTCAACCAAAACAGGACCATGAGCACAGATCATAAAAACTACCAGTCAGTCCTTCCTGGTGAAATTCAGTCTTTGTACAGCAACAAATAGGTTAGTCTTGTGTGGACGCCAGTGCTCCCAGATAGTTTGATTGCTTGTGGGCATTTAATATAACAGGAGGGATTTAATATTTATGGCAGGAACTGTTTTAAGCTCTACATATGAGTATTCTCTCAGTGACCCCTACTGAGGTACTTTTATCTCCATTTTCAAAATGGGAAATTGAGACAAAATAGGTTAAGTAACTTTTGTGAGGCCACATAGAAAGATAGTAGTAGAACCAGAATATGAATCTAGGCAGTTTAACTCAAAAGCTATGCCCTAGCCACGGGCGAGGCTGGATCCGTAAATTCCCAAGGGGTAGATAGGTGGGTGTTATATCTCCAAACAACAGATGACTCCAGACTTGGGGAAGGAAAGTCATTTGGTCAAAGGTCAAAGCATAGAGCAAACTGGTCCAACTTTAATGATGGCTGTCTTTCCATTCTCCAGACCACTTCCAACTGGGGGACGTCTGACGGTGAAGCAATACATGCCAAATGTCCTGTCAAGTGAACAGCCAGGGTTTACTGAGTGTCCATCACAGCTACTCTGCTCAAAGCCAGGGATACAGAAATGAACAAGACCTAGTTGCTGCCTCCAAACAGGCAGAACGTCTTATAAAATCATAGAAGAAAAGGGTCCATGTCAGTTGAGAGAAAAATCAGGCAAGGTTGATGGGAGAACACTTGCGGAGGAAGTGACGTTTGGGCTGTGTGAAGAGCCCAGAGAGAGAGAGAGAGGTGACCTTGGGCACAGAGAAAGGAGGGGGATGGGAGAGCACACACTATAAATCATCCCTGGGTAATTTAGTCAGTAATAATTCTCAATTTTTCCAGAATAAAATTTTCACAGGAAAATGGGACAAAATTAGATGTACATAGGGAACAGCAGTATTTCAGTCCAGATAAAAACTTTTTTAAATTTTCACCCAAGGACATTTCTTCACTGCTTTTAGAGAGAATGGAAGGGGGAGAGAGAGAAAGAGAGGCAGGTAGAGAGAGAGAGAGAGAGAGAGAGAGAGAGAAACAGAGAGCAGTGGCCTTCTCACATGTGCCCCAACTGGGGATCGAACCTGCAACCTAGGCATGTGCCCTGACAGGGACTCAAACCTGCAACCTTTCAGTCTGTGGGACGATGTTCCATCCAGTTGAGCCACACCAGCTAGGGCAATAAGAACTCTGAATTACATAAAAGCTCATCTGTAACCTGCTGTGAATCAGTCCTGGAATATTAATTAACACAGGAATACAGTGGGGCTTTCTTCTAATGAACTCATAATATCCTCAGGACAGGCACATGATGAAGACATAAAAATAATTCACTCTACCTAAGCTACAGCAGGCAAACCCAAGATGGGGCAAAATCAGAAGAATTCCTCTCAAACTCAGTTTAGTTAAGAATAGTGCTGGACTTGTGATTACCGAGTCATAGAAATGGATAGAATTATAAAAGATTATAATTTTCTCACTCCAAGATGAGTGTGAAACCAAGAGAGAGAAAATTCCTTGTCCAAAGTGATGTGTTTCCCAAAGGGGGCAGAACTGATTTGTTCTGTTTTCAAGAAAGCTACATGGACGAACCTTTGACAATCTGTTTTACTTGAAGCGTCACATTCATCCCATGTGATTTTAGCGTGGGCATGAAAGAACACGGTGCCCCTTTAAAGATAGTTTTCCAGGTGGCCAGAGACTCCACAAGTAGACGCGTACTCACTTAGTCAGCCTTTCAATGGTCTGCACGTGAACGTTACTATGGGTTTGGGAAAGAACGGCTTCGTGCTGGGCGCACTTCAAACAAAGACCGCCAACACGGTTAGCGACATTGCCAGCGAGAAGAGACTCTTTGTGCTTTAGTCGTTCTTTAAGATCTTCACAGTTTTTCTGATATTCAGCTAAGTCTTTCCTAAGAAGAAGGGGAAAAAAGTTCCAGTAAGTGGCTAGGTAAAAGTACACTACTTCCCAATGTATCAACGGGGCGGTAACTACTACTATTACTTATGGGCGTTAACCTTACAATGTGCTTTACATAGAACCCCTTATTAATTCTGACCACAACCTGGAATTCTAGGTGGATTAGGTCCAGTAGGATTATCCTCTTTGACTCTTTGGATAAAATGAAACTTGAATATATTAAATATTTAGTCCAAGTTTGTAAAATTAGTCTGCCTAAGATACTGGCTCTCAGTTCACAGGACCCTATGTCCCTTACTTGACCCACAACAGTAAAACTGCAAATGAATATTCTAAAGAGTTTCATTTAATAATGGGGTGGGGTGACGAACATCCCTGATTAGAGGGAAACACCCAATTTCAACTGTTAATGTCTTAAAATGTGTAAAGAATACCTTAAAGGATCACATAAAAGATATGGAACCTGTTATTGTCCGTTTTTCTTCAAGATCAAAAAGCTATCCAACCACAAAGCTCTACAAAGAGCTGTTTTGAAAGAGGGTGGCTACAGAAAGAAGTCGTATGGAGCTGGCCAGTCTTAAGGTTCCATAAGGAGCAGGTATTAGCTGGAAACATGCAGCTTACTTAAAAAAGGGGTGGGGGTGGGGCTGAGAAACTGGGGTGGTGTGTTTTGTTTGTTTTTTTTTACTTCAGAGGATAGTCCTTGGAGATGTTTTTCTCCAAGTTTTGGTAAAGTCAACCTGAACAACTGAGCTTCCTTACAAAGACAGCCCTTTCCTAATGTAGAAAAAGGAACTTCCTAGTCAAAAAGGAAAAAGCTGCCCTAAATTCGTGGACTACTGAAGGCAGGCACCTGACTCACGCTCAGTCCACTCTCTGTCATCAGTGCCTATTGTATTCAGGGACCTATAGCTGTCTCAGCTTGTTCACTGTCACAGAGGAGAAGCCAATAGTTGTGACACCTGGTCATTACACATGACCTCAACTTTATGGCAACCTGGGAGAGGTGGGAAGGATCCACAGGCAACCTAAGGATTAAAAAAACTAATCTCATGAGTGTCTGAAGTTGAAAAAAAATGGAACTGCTTGTGCCTTATTCCCAAGATAATATCTCCAACATAATGAGTTTTCTTCTTAAGTATCACAAAGGATTTATTAAAAAAAACTTGGGAAGCATATTCCAAAGTAAAAGGGTCTCCCTGACTATTTCTATCAGGTGCAAGTTCAAAACACTCAAGGAGCTATGATTATTTATAATGGCAAAAAAATAATAATGAAAAAGAAACAATTATCATAAAGTGAGAGTTTCTGAGAGTAGCGATTTTATTTCTTTCTGTAAGGAAAAGACCTCTTTCATTAGTCTTAAATTATACTAAAGCAAAATAGAGAAACAGAAGGATGCAGGGAGCAAAGTCTAGTTCACTGTAAGGTGGTGTTTTAATCTAATTAAAGATGGCATATGAATTCCGAATGAGACCAAATAAATCACACTACCATAAATATCATGAGTTAGAAATATATAAAGAATCAAAACACAATATATATCGAAATATAACAAAGATAAAAAGCAAGAAAGCAAAAATTAGACCATTTTCTAAATATTAGGTTTCTTCATGGAAAAGTAAAAATCTCTATGTAAATCGTAAAATGAAAAAGGGCGAGGTATGAAGAGAGCATATTAAAAGCAGTGAACTATAACACACGCAGTGCATGTCCGTGTGTTCTGGTTCTTAGCCTTACTCTAGTTATGTCTCCAGACAATGCATTCACTGAAGACTTTAAATTTTGTTTCAGATTGGACTACCAAAATAAATTAATCATTAAAACCATTTTGAAAAAATAAAATAAAGTTTATTATGAGTATGTTAAAGTTTATTTGATTTGAAAATATTTCATTACTGTGGTTTAAAATAACCTTTAATGTACAAAAAAAATTTCTGGTATCTTTTTGTATAAAAAAATAATTGTGTAGATAGATGCAAAAGGAGAATGTTGCATTGCAATTCTTGGATAATGAAAACTCAATAAATCACTAGTGGTTAATCTATAATATATAGGATTTATTGGGATTTTTGGAAACATATGAAAAAGCACATGAAAACTCATTATGTATACAGAAATTCACCATGTACACAAAACACACTCAAATATATTGTTGTAACTTTAAAATTAAATGAAGAAAAGTCAATAAAGAGAAAAACTCTTACATGTAATTTGAAAACTAAAGCAATTTATTTTCACTATTTATTTTTTAAAGTTTAATGTCTTTAAGAGCAGCTACTCATTCTTATTTCTGTCAGAAAACAAATATTTTGAACTGATGAGAAAACAAAACTTATAATTTAGTTCACAGTTATTTCAAATAACCTTTGAAAAAGGACTTCACAATTTTCTGCCCCCTTATCCTTTGATAATGTGAGAACATGTCTTATATTGCAAACAAAATGTCATCAAGTAATTCGTACATTGACTAAAACTAGGACTTCAGCAAACATTCAAGCATATGCTAAGATCGTTATGCTTTCACTATGATTTTATATAAATGATGATACCTTACCTCAAAAACCTCAACTGAGATTCCAGGATTTCACACTTTGCCTCATAAGTAAGTTTCAGCCTCTCCTTTAGCAAAGAAAAAAAATACATTTCTTTCGTATCCAGTGTGTTATTAGCAAATTTTAATTATTAATATTAAACTCAATAATTTTCCCAAGAGGAAAAATAATGTATGCTCTCACAACCACTTTCCCTAGTCCACCTAAAATTTTTCTATATTTATTAAGCGAAATAACTGCAAGAACTACTGAGTCATAAAATGGCCATTACTGACAAAAAGTGTTTTTTTCAAAATTGCATAAATCAGGTCTTTCTTCAAAAAGTATGATGCTGAGGAAAACCACTTATAACCAGCAACGTTAATGAGGACAAAGATCAAATCCCACTGGAGTTCTCTATTGTGACTGCTATATATTTGACATATAATAAATACGCATACAATACATATGTGTCTATGACACACAATGGATGAATAGTAAAAGGGAAGTTGTAAGACATATGATGACAGACCAAACTATCTACAAGCCCCTGCTTGTTATTCTTTCATTCAACAAAAATATATCACGTATCTCAGGTGAAGATGCCTCCAACTTCAAGGAACTAGATTCTAACAAGGCATAGAAAGACAGATGAACATTCATTTATATGTAATTTATGATAGCAAGGAATACAGAAGGTAGAGTTACAGGAATTTGTACTGCAATCAAAGGGAGGAAGAGAAAACTTCATGGAGGATGTGCTAAGAGACGTAAAGCATAATTTCCAATAGAGCGAAAGGCACAGCGGCCGGGCGTGGAAAATGCCAGGTGGAATAGTGACTCACGATAGTTAAAGAGGTGAGGCTAGGCCACAGAAAGAATACAAATATGAAGACCTTTATTTAGCCAGCCCATGTAGTCTCCATATAGTAGAGGCATGGGAGGCACACTGAAAACTTTGGACCAGATTTGACTCTTAAATCACTCAGCTGTGAAAAAAGCAAGACTGATTAAAAAGTCGCCGCAAATACATAGGTAAGAGATAAGCACATGAACAAGAGTAATCAAGCATGAAAGGTAGAAAAGAAATAATTTAGTATAGAGCTGTACAAAAGTGATACAGTTTTATCATTGAATAGATATGAGGGAGAAAACATTAAAAATAATCCTGGGTTTCTGAATTGAGCAGCCAGTTGAGTGCTGGCACTAAAGATATTTTCATACTGACGAGGCGGGTAAAAGGAAGTCATAAGAATAGTTTACTAATTCAGAAGAAGGCAGAAAGCGAGCAAAGGGAGAACAGAATAATAGGTGGGGGAAATGAAGCCAAATAGCAAGAGAGTGGATTTAACCACAAGTATATAAATAATCACAGTTAAAAGGCAATGTCATTAGATTGGATAAAAAAAATCAAAACACAGCTCTATATTCTTTTCAAGAAACCCACATTCAGTATGAAGACAGATCTGTTCAAAGTCAAAGACAGCAATAATAAATCATGCTAATATTAATCAAAAGAAAGTGAGAGTCAAAATACAAAAATCAATGTTTTGTGCTTTTTTCTATATCAGCAATGAGAACTGTGGTACATGCTACAACATGGATGAACGTGGAAAACATGCTAAATAAGATAGGCCAGACACATGGTTTGATTTCACTGTGTCAGGTCCCTAGAACAGGTAAACTCATTGAGATGGAAAAGAGCAGAGGTCACCAGGGCTGGCGAGAGGAGAGAATAGGAGTTACTGTTTAATGTGTATGGAGCGTTTTGGGGGAATGATGAAAAAGTTCTAAAAACGGATAGTGTTGATAGTCACACAACATTGGGAAGGTACTTAATGCAAACGAGGTGTACGCTTAAAATGCTAAAATGGTAAATTTTTAAATTATTAAAATGTTACATTTACCACAATACAAAGCACAAAAAAGAAAAGGTACATAACACGAAAACACCTAAATACTCACCAGTTCTAGCTTCCATTTCTCAGCCTCACTGGCAGACGAAGCTCTGGTAGCATCGGCATTGCCACGGGAAAGCGATCTCTTGGCAGATTCTTCCACCCCAGAATTTTCACCGGTTGTAATCCAAGAATTCTGCATGTTTCCCTAAAATACAATGTGCCAGTAATTGCAATCAACGTTTACCTTTAAATCAACATGCATGCTTTACAACTGATTCTTATCTGTGATAAAAGAATAAAAAAAAGCAGTTGCTTCCCAAGTACAAGTCAATAATTATTTTACGTTTTCCAGCTACTAGGGTCATATTCCACAGGTACTACAAAGTCGAATTCCTGCAGGTACAGACAACAAAGCAAATGAGCAACGAGGGCTGGATGCCAGTGTAGTAAATCTCTTACTTCTCTAAAGATATATACTCTCAAAATACAGCCTTCTCTTAGTTTGCCTTTCATTTTTCACATTACAGAAAGGTGTGACTAATAATAGCTGTTAATACATATGGTGTTTACTATGTGTCCAATGCTGTTTATGTCCTTCACATATATTAATTCATTTGATCATTACAACAACTGTGTAAGTTTCATTGTTATCTCCATTTTATAGATGAGGAAACTGAGTCACATGGAATAACCTGATGAGTTACACAGGTAGGAAGTAGCTAATAAGTGGTATAGCTAGGATTTGAACCCTAGCAAATCCAGCGGCCATGCCCTAAGCCACTATGCTCTTTTGCCTTTCCAGAAAAAAAAAATATTTATCTTCAACAAGCAAAAGAGTGCACGACATGTCAGGGATTCCAAAGGAGTGGTAGGAACCATGATAAACCACCCAAAAGACACAGCTACTACCCCTTCCAGTCAATTGCTGCCACGTGTGAATGCAAACTCATAGTTCCAAAAATCTGTTAATTAAAAAAATAAGCCAGATATATAGCTTTTTCATTTGAAACTTTGTTAAATATTGGCTCAACGCGTGTCAAACAAACAAACACATTCCACAGATGGAATCTGGTGGCCCTGTGGTCAGTCTCCCATCCCTGGCACCTTCTCAGCATTCAGTGAGGTAAGCAGCCCAAGATCTGTGCCATTTATGTGTACAGCCAGGACGAACATACTTATACTAATTCAGAAAATAATAACTGAACTCTTGCTAAGAGCCAAAGAATACGGTAGTATCCTGAAGAGAGGACAGGTCCCCAACCTGTCCTCCATATTGCACTGCCATATCGTGCCAGAAGGTGGTAAATGGTATTTCTCCAAAGTAGACTTCTGCGGTTCCATTCCATTTTCTTCTGGAAGTTCAGTTTAATGCAAACACTTCTGTAAAAATGCCTACTACGTCCAGGCACCATGCTAAGAGCGCAGAGGGTAAAAAATAAGCAAGGCCAATCTTATCCTTAAGGAGTTTAATGAGGGAGACAAATGTTTTGGCAAATAATTTCAAATAATAAGCTAAGCGCAAGGCCAGGGGTGTGCGTGCAGGACTGTTCCAGAACAGAGGAGGGACATTAAGAGTGACAGGAGATTCCAGGAGGATTTCCTGGAGAAGTTTAGACACTGGTATTATATCCTGAGGATAAATAAGACTGAGCTACATAGGAAGGGCATGCCAGGAAAAGAGAATATCGTGAGAAAAATCACAGCGGTGTGAAATAGGCTGGTTGCAGGGGACTCAGGCAATTTAGCATCACTAGATGTTGAAGCACAAGGAAATGGGTGTCAGAAGGTGAAGCCAGAGCCAAACAAGGCCCTGGAAAGCACAAGAGAATAAGCTTCCACTTGACTGGGTAGGTAGGAACGAATCTGCCAAGACGGGGTTGCACTCAAAGTTGCCTTGGAGAGCAAGAAGGAAGGGTGGTCTGATTTCCTATGGAGAGACTGGAGAAAGCATGTAGAACTTCGATCACTAACATAACAGAAACATCATGATTCTTTGAAAGAAGTGCTAGTCTAATTGACACTTTGTTCTTTCACAGACAGCTCTTAAAAACTGGAATGGTATTTGACCAAGATTTGAAATATCTAATTACATTTACATCCCTGAAGACCACTGGAAACCTTTACTTTCTTAACTGAATGGAGAGATTGGTAATGGAAGGGATGAGAATACACATAGAAAGAAATGGTTCAGAAATGTGATACTTAAAAAAATATCTCCGAGATCCTTGAGTGGACACGCTGAAATTCCTAGTAAATAGCATATTTTAATGTTATAATTTCTGAACTATCACAAAAAGCCCTCCATGAAGAGACATTTTATAAGTGATGACAAATAAAAATGGAAATGAAATATTCTTTAAACATGTTTAGTTTTAAAAAAAAACAATCTGCTTGCTTCTTCAACTGCTAGGTCAAAAAGTAGGCTAAAAGTGAAAAGTCACATAGGCTACCGTTCAAGTCCAAGGTTAAAACTCAGAAACAATAAAGAGGAGGCTCCTATCTTCTGAGGGAAATCTTTTATTCCAGGACAAACACAGATGGTCTGGTTCCGTATTGACAAGTTTTTACTAATTTATGCAAGCAGCACAGTTCAAGGCTAGGTGGATGGATTTGGGGTCAGACAGTTCCATGTTTGAGTACTAGCTTTGCTATTTTCTAGCTTCGTGACATTAGACCAGTTACTTTGGCTACTTTACTTGTCTTAGTTAACTTGTCTGAAAATAAACATAATTACAGTGCCTTGTGTGGCTACTATACAACTGAAATAAATATAATGTAAAGAAAGTGCTTAATATAGTGCTTGGAACACCACAACCATGTAGTCATCAATAAATATTAATTATTACTATATAACTATTTAAATTATTTTTCAAAAGAAGGTCTTCAGAAACACTGAAAATCTATATTCAAATCCGCCAAGAGCTTTGGCAAGATCTACCATCTGCATAGCAATAGACTCACTAAAAAGAGTTTAGAAAAAAAAAGGAAGACACTGTCTTTTGATCTGTTTATATATTTAAGATACTCTAAAAAGTTTCATTTACGTTAAGACTTTCTTTTCTTAATACAGCAGCATGCACGGGCGGTTGAAATGCCTCAGCTCACCCATACAGGTAAAAAGCAGGGCTCTCGCTACTGGAACAACAAACTAACAGACAGCTGACACTGACTAGGCAGCAAGGTCCCCGGCACATCTGCAACAATCGCTGCGATGTTTGCATTACATTTTCCGCATGTGGAAATGTGTACAAACAGAAACAGCAGAAGCTCTGTAGGAGTCTGTTCTTTCTCTGATTATGGCTGCAGTTTTCTTCAGCAAGTTGCCTTTGTTCATGCGGCAAAGCGTGCATGCCGTTCATTTCCTTCCCCTTTCGCATTACTCACTTAGCTTGCCCTCTGATTCACTTGCCTGCCCAATTTCCTTTCTCACTGCACTTCCCCTTCTTCCACTTCTTTGCCATTGTGTAAACAAAGAAGACTATGAACAATTGAGTCACCATGTGCTAAATGACTACACACTTGGAAGAAAAGCAAAATAACATATATATTTTAAAAATGAGCTACTTCTAAGGCTTTTTTGTATGGCTATGTCATCTTTGAATTGACATTAAAATAATAAGCAACTAAGGTGGAATTTTGAACTACTAACATTAATAATATAATGATATAATTATTCAGAAAAAGCCACAGTGAAGGGAATATAGCTGATCATAAACTGAAATGTAACTGCAGAAAAATAAACTGAAATACTAATCAGTTCGCTTTTCAAAATTAACACAATCAGCTACTTCTAAATAGCAAATTATAATGCATAGAACTCAAGGATTATAAATGAAACATCAGGCCAGGTAAATTAAAAAAAACAAACTTCAGAAACAAAAATCAGAGGACACCTAGGTAAAACATTAAGACATCTTTTCTTCCCAAACTGATTTACCAATGACAATTATGTCAAAACCCCCAGAATCCCTTGCAAGGTAAAGCAGCAACAGGCAAGTATTAAAACTTCCTCATGGAAAGCTGAATTTTGTTTCAAAAAGCAGAACTAGCTCTTATTAACTGTATTCCACTGTAAGAGTGAAAAACGTTTTCAGGGCAAAAGTATCTTTGACAAGTCATAAGGAGATGACCAAGTTTAAACACTATTTAAATACCATTACAAAAACTATAGAGATCATTTAGTTCACTGTTGTTCAAAATGTGATCCACTGAAATTAGAATCACTTAGGCAACTTGCTAAAATGTCATATTTTTAACTCAAAGACTCAACCCAGACCCACAGAATCAGACTCGCAGGGGATGGAGCTCAGCAATCTGCACTGGTAGCAACTACCTAAAGTGACCACTATTCTCATTAAAGACTAAGAACTGCTCATATAGGTGAATCTTCTCAAACTGCCAATAAACAGAGGGCCCATGAGGTTAAGCCATGTGTGAAAGTCCTATAAAGTTACAGCATTTGCTAAACATCCAGTTCATCGGCAACAATGGGCAGCCTAACACTTTGATTCTTGGACCTTCAGACCGGTGTTCATTCTGCTACACCATGCTGCTAATTAGACTAACTTGGAATTCGGAGCTCAAGAAAAATTTAGAGAAATATATCTAAGCTGCAGTTCTGAGCAGTTTTTGGATTTGACCAAGACCTTTTGGTCCCATCTAACTCCCTGCTTTCAGACCTGCCCTTTCCATACGGAAAAAACATAAATGGCGTGCTTCGAGCAGAAGCGGGAGTAGATAGGCGGTATTATTGCATCACTTCACTGGCGGATTCATTCCACCTCAGTGAATTTTAATGTTTGACGCCCCAAGCAAACTTAAGCATAGTACTTTTGCCAAACTTCAAGGAGGAAATCTAAGCAGTTCAGAAGGCTGGGGAGAGGGTGGGAGGGAACATTCGAACTAAAACACAATTGTGGTTTTAAAAAATGCTCACAGTTGCATCCAGAAGTGTTTGTTCCCTCATTGCTTCCTCTTGTCTTCGCAATTTCAACTCTTGCTGGAGCCGTTCATTGTCAAGCACCACTACCTGTAACCTATTTTTCATTCCAGAGAGTTCCTCCTATGAAAAGCAGAAATAGATATGAGATACGGTCAGAATTTTTAAGCAGTGCTTCTATTTGTTGATTATTAGACAATCCAACATGATGTAAAGCATGCAAGATTTTCTGCTCTCTATCCATTTTCTGAAGTACTAGAATTGTATTCAAACAAACAAATATTAGTTAACAAACAAAGAGAAGGCTGGGGCTGTGCAGTAGGAAGCCTTCTGACGGCCTTTTCACAGAAGTGTGTGGTCTGACTATTTTTTTCTCCAAGGGATCAAGGCTTATAGAAAAGCTTTAATTAAAGGGGTTATCTGAAAGAGTTTAAAGAATGAGGTAGAATGCAGAAAACTAAGGTGAGATACATTATTACTCACACGTAAATGCCAATAACTTGTTGAAAACTGACATAGGACTCAACAGTTAATACAGGACTCTGAGATTAAAAAGCCTGGGAAGTTACAATGATGATCTATGAACTGGTAGCCAGATGGAGGGAAATTATGAGGGAAATACTTTGGTGGAGAATTCTGAAAGAGTATTTTATTAGCCTTGCAAGGTATAATATAAGGAATTACAGATAAATAACAATTAGAAGAGCTATTGCATGGCATTTCATTTTCCAAAAAGTGCCAAAAATCATCACTATATTGACAGTATACTACTTAGTCTTCGTTACTAGTGTGACCAAAAACTATTATGCAATATATACAAATTCCATTCAATTATTTTATTCACACAAGAAAACCAAAGCCATAGCTGAAAGTAGTAATTTTAAAAATCTTGCAGATTTAGCTTAGGAGATCTCACTTCCACCTTCACAACAAGACAAACGCTAAACAAGCGGAAAAACCAACCACTCTTCTTAGATTCATCAGAGAACTAAAGCCCCAGGAAAAACTTGCACCCCCCAGTGCCGGAGAGCTGGACAGGTGCTCTGGAGCAGTACATCCCACAGAAACTTCAAGGGGAAGGAGTGCTGGGCGCGGAGGGTGTAGTGTGTAAGCGACGAAATGCTCATCGTGGACAAGTGTGAGCGTTAAAAACTCTAGGGGGACCCAGTGCTGGGGGAAATCCTATGCTTTTGTGAGTTCCATTCCTAGGACACCAGGTTCTTACAGCAAAGACTAGAGAAAAATCCCCTGATGCTTCCACCAGTAGGAGAGGAAAGCAACTATTCTGAAACATGCCCAAAGCATTCTCTTCTTTTTAACAAGGCCTTTCTCCGAAGAAACTGTTACCAGAGCCTAAATAGCTGGGTTGTTTTGTTTTGTTTTTCAGGTCCTACATGACCTGGGGGAAGGGAGATACCCAACTCCAGCTGCTACAAGACTTCCTGTCTCAATTAAGGGGAGGAGATAGAAGGCTGGCAAATACTTGTGTAGGTCATGGCCAAGGGGCACAGGCTGCCTAAATAACTGAGACCTAATCACAGGACTAGAGAATGCTTCCTATGTTCCTATATCTTACGACCACATCAAACGGGCTCCTATATAATAACAGGGAAATGCACTAAAATAACTGCATGCCTTCTACCTCGTTTTAGGAGAATTCCACAGGGAAGCCCAAAGACAACAGGGGAAACAAAAACCAAGACATTAGAGGAAATTTTAGCCTCTGACACCTTCAGCAACAGTCAATAGTAAATGCATCCTAACTCTTAGCCAAATAAACATAAAACAAAATAACCATAAAACCTCACACTAAATGTGTATTTCCCTCAGTTGCTTTTACTCAGTACATCATGTCTAGCATTCAACAAAAAATTACAAGGTGTCCCAAAAGACTTAAAGCACAGTTTAAAGTGACTAAGCAAGCACAGAACCAGACTTGGATATGGCAGAGATGTTGAAATAATTAGATTGGGAGTTCAAAATAATTATCATTAATATGCTAAAGAGTCTAGTGGGAAGAGTGGACTACATGCAAGAACAGATGGGAAATATAAGCACAGAAATGAAACATCTAAAAAAGAATCAAAAGAAAATGCTGGAAATAAAAAGCACAGCAATAAAATTGAAGAATGCATTTACAGACTGGACACATCCAAGGACAGAATTAAAGAGCTTCAAGAATTGTCATTAGAAATTTCCCTAACTGAAATGCAAAGAGAAACAAAGAATAAAAAAGAACAGACTATTCAAGAACGGTGGGACAATCATAAAAGATATAACAAGTATAATGGGAATTCCAGAAAAAGAAAAAAGAGATAAAGGAGAACAAATACTTGAAGCATTAATGATTAAGAATTTTCCAAAGTAAATGATAGTAGGCCCCAGATCCAGGAAGCTCAGAGAATACCAACCAGGACAATACCAAAAAGTCTACATCTAGGCATATCACATTTGAAATGCAGAAAATCAAAGACAAAGGGAAACTCTTTAAATAAGGAAGGGGGAGGGGAGAGGGGAAACCATACCTATAGAGAATCAAGGATAATTACATCAGGCCACTCTTCAGAAACCATGTAAGCAAAAAGAGAGTAGAAACAAATATTTAAAGTTTTGAAAGAAAAAAAATCCCCTCAGATGATCAAAAATATAGGGAACTTATTACCAGTAAACTTGCCTTACAAGAAATATTAAAAGAAGTTCTTCAGAAAGAAGGAAATGTATATAGGTCATAAACTCAGATCTACATTTTAAAAAGCATTAGAGAAGAAATGTATGGAGATAAAATCCTTAATTTTTCTTAATCGCAATTGATATGAGTCTATATTACATATAACATATTACATCTATATTACACATGGCAGTTTGTTCAACAGCATAATAGCAACAGTAAATATGGTGATGAAAGGTTATGTATAAGTGAAATGAATAACAGCAATGTTATAAACAGCAGAAGGGAAGAACTGAGAATGCTCCGTCGTAAGGAATCTGCCCTTGCCCTGAAGTGGTGAAGTGTTATTTGAAAGTAGATTTAGATTAGTGATAAATGCAATTGCAAACTCAAGGACAACCACTTATAAAAGTAAAAAAAGAAGTTCAACTGCTATGATAAGAGGAGTGGGGAAAGGAAATCATAAAAAATACTGATTTAAAACCAAAGATAGCAGAAAGAGTGGAAAACAAAAAAAGTAAGTCAATATAGAACAAGGACAATGAACAGACAACAGTAACAACTGTGGTTGATATAATAGATATCCAAGTATATCAATAATCACTTTATACCTCCGTGGTCTGAATACGCCAATAAAAAGACAGAGGCTGTCAGTGAAAAAAACGAGACCCAAGTATATGTTGTCTGCAGGAAACCCACTTTAAATATAAAGACAGATTAAAAGTAAAGGATGGAGGAAGACATACCATGCTAACATAAATCAAAAGAAAGCTAGAATAGCTAAATTAATTTCCAACAAAGCAGACTTCACAGCAAAAAAAATGTATCAGAGATAAAAAGGGGGCAATCCTTCAAAAAGACCTAATCCTCAGTGTGTATGTGGATGGGCCTAATAATGGAGCACCTGTGCAGATACCTCGCCAAAGAAGATCTATAAATGGAAAATAAGGATATGAAAAAAGTTCAGTATGACTTGTCATTAGAAAATAATTGCAGTTAAAACAATGAGATACCACTACATACCTTTAATACTCTAAAATCCAAAACACTGATCATACCAAGTGGGGTAAAGATGTGATACAAAAAGATATCAGTAACTACTATAAAAATATCATATGAGCTGATGCATTGATATTGAAAAACAAAAGGAAGAAAGAAAAAGTAAAACATGAACATACTTTGGGAAGTTAGAAAGGCTGCAACGGCATTCGTGGCATTATTAACTCCATGTGGTCGAGCAATATCACTGTCTGGTGTTTCGAGCCATAGGTGACGCATTTTGTTTCTTGGTCATTGTTACTAGTACCCGCATGAAGCATTCTTATCATTCAAAGTCAAGGTGTAACCCTTTATACTGACTATGGAGCAGATTTAGTCTAGTAGCATCAGTCCCTGCCTGCTGCACCCCAGGCTCAGTAAGTTGAAAAAGGCGGGAGAAAGATTGGAAGGACTATTCCACAGCATTTGCCATCAGCTGGGCTCAAGTAAATGGAGTGGAAAGAAAAGAATTCTGAGAAAAAAATGGGATCCTATCGTCAAGATGTGGGACGTAGTTTAGTTATGGACTGCCGGGAAACCAAGCAGCCCGACGTGGCATGGTCAACGGCGTCATTCCCGAGGCTGATAACGTATAATGGTGGCCTTTGTGACTGTATTGCTATAAATGTGAAGACTAATAATAGCGCCTTTTCATAAAAGACCTCATTCATATAAACTTCAATTTGGGTAACCTTAAATTTTTAATGAGAAACTTACCTTGCAGAACTTGACTTCTGCCTCTAAATGATGAATGTATTGAGACTGATCATTGATGATAGGGACAAGATTTTGGACAGTAGGCATGCTGGTTTCCTCATGTTCTGAGGACCTCTACGAAAAATAAACAAGAAGTGAAGCATGTTTTAATTTAGCAAAGACTCAATGAATATCACCCTCGTATTCAGTTTACCACGGATGGCGTATAAACACAGACCAGATCCTAGGGGGCTAATAGGATTTATTTCTCTATCCTATAAATTCCACAAAGGTATAGAATTCCGGGGTATGACCATTTTTTAAAGTTGGAGAGTGAAGGTGGTTATAGAAAGCACACGGCAAATGGAAAAATGCCAGGGGAACATAAACTGGCTTGAGATGAAGTGCCTGTTTGGGCCGAGCTGAGATGAAGAGACAGCGCTCGCCTGGGCACCGCCACGGAAGAGGAGGACCGGCTGCAACCGCAGAACCGCTCCCTGCCGAAGGGCTTCTCCAGACCAGCGTTTGATGCTAAATAAGTGTGTACTGATGAGTAAAATTCTATCTTCGCCATGATTTCGGCCACTTAAACCGGGTCAAAGCTTTTCCTCACACCTTCACACCTATTTTAGCCTTGAGGACATTGCATTTCTTCAATCAGGAATAATATGCTCTGTCAAAGCAACAGCAATGAAAGAGCTGCACAAGAAATCCGGTGCAACTTCTTGCATCACACAATTTCATAACCATGTATTTTTCTAAGTGTAGAATAAGATTACATATTTTGGTTTTGACATTTATGATAAGAATACTACAAAGGACGGCCAGAATTATAATCAATTCTAAAACTGATCGGATACAGATATATGTCCCCAAAAAAGAGAAATGACTAATCTTTTCCATAATGTGCTTCTTTTATAGTGGCTAATAGTTACAAAGTAAATTCTCCAAACTATTTCCTCACTCATGTTTTTCAAGTGAACAACAAATTAAAAAATCAGGATTCCTTTTGCCCTAGGAGTCTCTCTTCTGTAGCTAAAATAATCAGAGAAGATTGTTTCTTTTAATGATGTACACTCTTAGAATGTCCTGCTCAGAACCTGTCTACAGCATGCCCTACTAAAATGGCACTGTGAAGTTAAAACATAGTCAGAAAAATAATGCTTTTTTGCATTGCAAATGTTGATACTTACCAAAGGGGACATTTTTCGTCTTCTTGAAGGAGATACCTCACTTTCCTTAGCTGCTTGTTGATGCAACAAAGCTTTGAGTTGATTAACTACAGGGGAGAAGCAATGGGTTTATTAATCTTGAGATCCACGGTTTATTGTCACCCATCCTTCCTTCCAACAAATATTGTTTAACCATATATTATGCACCAAGAACTGGGATGCAAAGGAAAGATGAGAGAATCTCTCCCACTTAAGAGCTAAGGATCCACTGGGAAAGAGAGTGATACACTAATAGATATAAGACAACATAAATCTGTATGTAGACCCAGAGCCATATATAGTGCTACAAAAAGAGGAAGCACCTAATTGTGCCTGTTTTCACAGAGAAGATAACACTGTGAAGGATCTAAGCAGAAAAAGGTAAGAAAAATTCCAGTAGAAAGCATGGTGCATTCAGAAGCCAGGACGACGGCCAGCGGAGCATGGCTTGCGACAGAGATGATTGGAAGGAGGGAATAAACATGAGGCTAGCAAGGTAGCCTGGAGCCATATAACGTAAATATTGCTATGATACTAGAGTTTTGGACTTTGGTCTACACAGACATCAGGAAGTCAAGGGAAAAAAAATTAAGCATGGGAATTGTATTAGTTAATTTGTGTTTCAGGAATAAAATCTTAGCAGTAGAGTGGAGGATGGGCTGGAGTCATTGTTGTATAGGGTTTAAAGAATTCACTGTGGGTCGTCCAGGTTAGGGTCACATTCAGCTCACCAGCATGGCTGTGTTGTAGTTCGTGCCAGGCAGTCCCAGGGTCCTCATGTCCTACGTTCGTGCTTAAAGAAGGATCCAGAGCATCTTCCACACCACTGACATCGCCTTCTTTCAGGGCGCATTTCAGTTGGTGGATGCTTCTATTTGCACGTTCTACAACAACATGGTAAAAGAGAGGCTGCTGAAATCTGACAGCTGCATGCAATACTCGGGCAGTTGCTAAAGCGGAAGCAACACTTCTGAGAGTCTATGGAAAAAGGCAGAGTTCTGTTTCTAGCTTGCTGAGGAATGTGCTAGAAGGAGTGAGAGAAGGTTAAGTTCGTGGGCTAAAGGTTATACTTGATGATCTCTAAGGTCCCTGACACCTCAGTGGATGATATTCACAGTACTGTCAGCAGGAGGATTGAATGGGAGGGCTCCTCCCTCACCCATACCTCCAATCAGTAACCAGCAAGGCCAAGTGCCCGGGACTCCCCAACTCTACCCGGAGACATTGGGCTGGGTGGGCAGAACCAACAAGAGGGACTCCACCACACCAAGCATCTGCCCAGGGAAGCTTCCTTGTCCCCATGGGCCCAACCCCAACCAAGAGACAGCCAACTGCCTGGCCTAGTTTTGAATCAAGATGTGAATAACTAAAGTGCTTCTCGGGGTAACCTCTGTAATATACAGCCCTACAGACATATTGCTGGCTGACTGTATCCTCTGCAGAAATTCCTGGTTAGTGCAGCTGACTTACCCTAGAACTGAAGCTTAAACTCACCAGCACATGCTGAACATAAGCTCTGAAATCAAGTATTTTAAGGCACATTTCTACTGCCGTTCATTTCTAAAAATGGTCCCCAAGGAACCCAGCCTCGAGCCCTCTCCTCTCCCAGGCGGAAACTTGAGCAGGCCTGTCAGGCATCAACCAACACAACGCAGTGGAAGTTACCCCAGGGCAGAGCGGGCCTGGTCTTTGAAATGTCTCGTGGGTTCTGCCTCCTCCCTCCTGGAGCGGTTGCTTTTGTGAGCCCCAAACCACAAGTAGGAAGTCCGGCTATCCTGCTGGGGAGGTTGAGGGGAGGCCATGTGGAAGGAGACGCCCCGGAACCACGTGGAGAGCCAGAGGAGCCCAGCCTGGCCGACAGCCCAGCGGAGCCTTCCAGGCCACTCTACAGGGCCAGAGGCCGTCGGGGTGCAATGGCAAAAAAGAGACCCAATGATCAGGAAGCCACTAAGCAGCCACTGAGTTTTGCAGCGGTTTGTTATACAGCAATGGGTAACTGAACTAACTAGTAGGGAAATAGCAACTCAAAAACAAAGGATTTAAGCCTTACATTACTGACAGAACCACGCCGGTGACACTGGTGATAATATGCCTCGTAAGTCTGCCCTACATTAATGGGCACGTTCAGACGCCCAGCAACAGGAGACCCAGACAATCCATCGGTAACTTCCTTAATTAAGGTCCAGTTTCTTTTTTAGGTTTACACTTCTCATTGTTTCTTATAATCTCCTGATTAAATTCACTAGTTCCAGCCCTGGCTGGTGTGACTCAGTGGAGTGAGCTATGGCCTGTGAATGAAAAGGTCACCGGTTTGATTCCCAGTCAGGGCACACGCCTGGGTTGTAGGCCAGGTTCCCAAATTGGGGGTGTGCGAGAGGCAACTGATCAACGTATCTCTCACACATCCCACACATTGATGTTTCTCTCCTTGCCTTCCCCACTCTCTATAAAGTAAATAAAATGTTTAAAAAAAAACAAAACAAACTAGTTCCAATCCAGAAAACTATTTCAAAAAATGTTCCTTATATATTAGAGCTGGGACCTAGATTTCAGTCACCATTTTCAAATTTTAACATCTGTATTGGAAAGTTATTTTTTACCTCATTAATTTACCAGACATTTACATATATATAACAGAAATTCATGTTAGATAAAGATGAATTCCCACGCAAGGTCATGTACAGCTATTATCTAAATATTTCAAGTGGATTCCATTTAAACAACCCTTAAGCTCTTCAGAGACGGTGCTTCCTGAAGTAAGAGCAACTCACAACAGTGATGGCAATGAACTTCTTAGTCTCTTCTGATCTAGGCCCTTCTTTGACAATTTAGACCTATTTTTTTTCTCATGTCTTCAGGAGAAAAGGCTTCTTTTCCTTACTACCTACTGGGAACTGCAAGAAGGCTATAAAACACTCGTGTTTTCATTACCAACTATCACTGAGAATAGATTTATAAACATATATCCTACAGGACATTGAAAAAAATGGATTCCATTTTCTCCAAGCTCATTGATTTCAAAATATGAATCAAAAAATAACCATAATCGAAGAGAAGAAAATACACCCTAGATTGCAAAATATCTCATGTAGGTTCTTGACTCACAGGAACTAATTTTCTACCTGGATTAAACTAAAGGGAACAGGTCTTACAGGTCAGAGTTCATCATGAATAGCATGAAACACTATTACTCACAAGAGACCCAGCAACTTTATCACTACGTTTTTCTCCACACCCACCCCGTTTCCCCACAGACCTCCCTCTGACAGGAACTTGGTGCTGACTGCAGCACTAGGCCTGTGACTCATCCTGAGTTTAAGAAAAGTCCAGAGAAGATGCACTCCTGATTTTAGCCAAATAGGAAGCAGCAATAGTTTTCCAATAACTGAGTGCTGTATTTTCTAAAGAGACTTGTTAATGGAAAAGGAAAATCAAAGTGTTACATGATAAGCAATTCTGTTCACAGAGCTTTAGATTTATGCACTTAAATCTATGAATAAAGCACTTATCTCTCTTGCATCCATTAGAAAGGAAGCAGAGGGTCCGGCTAACATTAAGAGTGCTCCGTGGAGCTATCAAATGACTTCACCTCTAAGACAAAGGATTATTATTTATTTATACCTAATCTGAATAAAAGCTAATAAGCTATATTAAGAAAAATAAAAGAAATCTGAAAAAAAAGTCACATAGTTGAAATCCCTATAGAGAGTTCTTTCATCAGATTACAATGATGGCGCAGCTGGACGAGCCGATTTCATGCCTTTTCTAATGTTTCTAATGCCTTGTTTAATCTTTTAGAATTTATGACTTTCAAAGGTGACGTTAAAATGAAAATAAAATTATGTGAAATACTGAGATTTTGATAACTGGTATTTTTAAGTTATTGCAATATAACATTTCAAAACACGTGCTACACAGTTCGTGGACAAATAGAGTCCATCCTGAGGGTAACAGTGACCGAGGATTCCAGGCAGATGAAGCCACGCTGCTCTTCAGCCAGAGTCACTGCGACACAAGGCGCGTGACCCTATTCAGAACACCAACCCCCGACGCAGTGGCTGCTGGTTACACATTAGGAAACCAGACCACACAGGAGCTTCCAGTTATTTCCTACCCTGCTGCTCATGGGCACGGCGTTATCTTCCTATAACCAAGAGGGAGGAAAAAAGGACTCTCATTTCCTCTTCTCTCCTGAGAAGACACAAAGGGAGTTTCACAACACATCCTGATTCTTTCTCTTCAGTACCAAACACGGGCCGCATATAAACTTAATTATGAATACACAGATAGGACCGCTGGGTCTAACAAAATCACATGGACTGAAGTGTAAGCAAATAATATTTCTGCCCATCCACCATCCAAACATCAACCAGTACGATAAGCGCTGCACAGGTGAGTCAGCCCCTGATGGCTGACAATTTGATTGTCTTATTCATTTTTGTAACCCGGTTTCCCCACTTCTAACTCCTAGCTCACCGTCGGGCCTCTCTTCATCAAGATGTTTTTGAACAAAAGGTGAATATGTCCCAGTCTAGGAGGGATCATCGCTTCTACACATACTGTGAATTATTAATTTCTACATTGTCCATCTGTACCGGGAGAAGTGAAGGCGAATTATCCTGGTGACAGGGACGGGGAGCCACACCCTGTGAAGCGCCCAGCTGTCTCTGAGAAAACATGCAATCAACCCGACCTCCCTCGGCTGAGACACGGGATGCACCGCAGTTCTCAAAACAAGCCCAGACGAGGGTAGACAAGCAGAAAAATGAGACCACAGCGAGATAAGAGAGACATGTGTTTGTCCACCCTTAACTGGGCCTCAGCCTAGTTCAGAAGTTGGCTGTCACTGTTTACTAAGGGACAGGTAGCACAACCAAGATAAAACAGCATATTCCAAAATCAGACAAAGCCAGCTTTGTAAATGGCAATGACAATAATGAGAGAGATTAAAAGTGGTGCTATATAGAAAGTTAAAAAAAAATCTCAAAAGAAAATACTCTCATAAGACTCTCAAGAGCTGACAAATGTGCTCGAGCGGTTGGCGCCAGGAGTGAAAGATAATCTGAGCAAGAATGCAAACATCTTAAGAAAGCAGTGTCTGGAAGATCATTAATGATGCATGGATGTTGGCAAATCAAGGAGACTGGCTAGATGCAGAATGAGGGGTACACCTGGTACTCTTCTGGCACCAACTGGGAGGACTTATGCACCTGTCACTTTCCATTGATAAAGACGTAGTCCTAGCCAGACTGGCAGAACACGGGCAAAATCACCAGCCAATACAATCTGTATCCTTAATTGTAATTACTCTCCGGTATGATTCTGGCAGAGAAAGGGCTGCAAGCAAAGCCTTGCTCCTTCCAGGTCACGGTTTCTCAACCTCAGCACTGTTGACTAGTGGCCTTGAAAATTCTTTCTTGTAAGGGGCTGTGCTGTACCTGTTCAGCAGCATCCCTGGCCCTTACCCACTGGATGCTGGTAGCACCCTCCCCCTCCCAAATTTGACCAACAAAAACATCCCTAGACATTACCCAATGTCCTCTGGCCAGAGACAGCGCTGTGGCCGAGAACTACCGGTTTAGATCAATCTAACAAGAACGCTAGTGTTCGATCTGGAGGAGAGGCATCCATCAAATCCACCATATTGCTGCACAGTGACTACAGCCACTTCTTGATGAAAAGTGGGCAGGACAGCGAGCTCCTCTGGCACAGCAGTGGGGTGGGCACGCCTGGTCCAGATGCCTAGGCAAGGTGCTATAGCACTACCCACTGTAATCAGGAACTCGGGATTCCTATTTAGCTTCGTTTCAAGGCCTAACACATGAAGCGATTGCTATACTCTAAGGCCATTTTTCAGAGCTACCTTAGGTGATCATTTCTTTAA